AATCCCACCACCGCCTGGGGGCAGGCGGCATGGGCAGCAGCCTATAATTTGGGGGTGAGAGATGGGACTCCCAGGTCAGCTTTGACCACAGGGTCCCCAGAGGAAGGGAGGGGTCCAGGGTCTTGGAGAATCAAAGCCTTCCTCTCAACTCCCTTGGTAATCATGAAGATGAAAATATTTATGGACAATTTTTCTCACTCTGGGGACAGGCTGAGCATAGAACGGGGCTTTTTTCCCTTGGCTATGGCTGACCTCTTAGGATGGCAGAAGCTGGGACAAACACAGGTTGTTTACCAGGTCTACAGAAGCCCCAGAGAGACACGGCCACGTACAGTTTCCCCTTTTTTAACACGGACGTGAGCCTCTGGAAAGATGCCCAGAGGAACAAGGGTGAGTTTCTACCCAATGTTAGCTTAATTCTTGATGGGACTGAAGGGATTTTTTTTTTTTTTCTCCCTGAGAGATGGGGCGAGTGTGTTTTGGTGAATAACATGTTTCCCATAATTTGTCTTTTGAAAACACAAGGAAATTTGCGTATGTGGCTGAAACAGCCTGGACAGAGAGCCTTCTGGAGAGGCCGGTCCTTCATTTCCCCACCGTGTCAAGCTGCTCGAACTCAATAAACACTTGTTGACCGAATGAATGGGTCATAGAAATGGTAAGCCGGAGCTGGAAGGAAGGCCCCATGGAGAGTCTCTGGGCCAAACTACTCAGGTTTCAGGCAGGGAAACTGAGGCCCAAAGAGGGGAAAGGGATGGAGACTGCATACAAGTACAGATATATGCAATTATGGATTACAGCTTAGAGTGAAGATGAGGGTGATAATGATAGTAGTAAAAGTCTTTTTCTGGGTATTGGGTGTTTTTTCAATTTACCAAAAGCTTTTTCACTGGCTAGACTTCCAGTAAGACTGTGGAGGAGGCAAGAGAAAGATGAGAATTCTCTGCCTTGTGGACACGGAGAGAGAAGCTCAAGGATGTCAAGCAATCTGCCCTCTCAGCCAGAAAGGGGTGATGTGAGGTTCAGCAAACAAACCAGGCTGTTTTCCATCACTCGACAGACAGACACCCATCCTGTGAAATTCACTCCCCACCCTGAAAGGAGGGACCTACCTAAGCCTGAGTTTAAATCCCAGCTCTAACACATATGAGCTGTTGAAAGAGCTCACTGCACCCATTTAAGCCTCAGTTTTCCCAGCTGCCGTATGGGGCTTGTACTCCCCATCTATCCCTGTCGCCTCATGAACTGGCATGAGAATAGCATTCGAGAATGGATATGAACCCTCCTTGGAAATTGTCAAGCAAGCGTAGGGGCGCGTAGGGGGGGGTCCTGGTGCTAGAATGATGATGTGTTAGTGGATCCCTCTGTCCATCCAAGGGAGACAGTGTTTCAATTCCAGCTCTTGAGATAAAAATAGCTTAAAGGGAGGAGGGGGGAAGCTCCCTAGGATATCTGGGCAGGATAAAAATAATCCTCAAGAACAGCTGGCTCCTTTCCTCCACTTTGGTATTCACCCGCAGTCTTCTGATCTCTTATTTGGTTTCCCAAGTCGACCTACCATCCCAGGCAAACAATCCTCCTTGTTCTGGGGCCAGGCGGTGGCAAATATATTCCAAGCTCTGGGAGTAGAGGCTTTGGAAGCAAGAAACATGAGTCCCATCCCAGGTCTGTGTACAACTCACTGTGTGGCTCTAGGCAAGTCATTCTGAGTCCTCTTCCCACAGTGCAGGGCTGGCCAGTAGAACTTTCCGCAAGGATGGAAAGGTTCTATATCTGTACTGTATGCACGGTAGCTACCAGGACTACTGAGTACTTATAATGTGGCTAGTGCAACTTGGAAAACTTAATTTCTATTTTTTTTTTTAATTTTCAGGAATTGAAATTTAAGTAGCTACATGTAGCTAGTGGCTGCTATATTGAACAATGCAAGCCTTTAAAATAAGGATGAGAAAAAGACCTGCCCCCTCATCCTGGGTTGAGAAGGACCCCTAATGTGTGCATAGAGCCTGGCAGATGAGAGATGCTCACCGCTTCTTCACTTCCTTCTCTCCTGACTCCTCCAAGAGTGTCTTTGAGTGGAAGAATTTCCCTTTAGAGACATTCAACTCCCCTGTGAACACTGGCTGGAGAAGTGGGTGGGTGGTGGGGGGAGAGAGACCCTGGGGGCTTCAGTGACGGACAAGGCCAGCTCAGAGAAGGACAAAAATGACTACATCTGCCAACTCCCACCTCTATTTTTGCTGTTTACAGACACCAGTGCTGGAAAGGGGCCCATCTTCGAAATTCCTTTTCATTGCGTAGAGTGGTTAAGCTCATGGGCTGTAGAATCAGATGGTTCTAGGTTAGTGTTTCAGTTCCATCAGTTACCAGCTGTGAGACCTTGGGCAGGTTGCCAGTTTCTCTGTTTCTCATCTGTAAAAGGAGCAGAATAATGTCTACATCTGAGGATTTCGTGAGTAATCAATGAGCTAATATGTGCAAAGCTCTTTACAGGAGGCCCAACAGATATCAAGTGCTTAGAAAACAGATGTCATGGCCAATCTTATGTAAACAGAGCCTCTTAACGTCCACACCCACGCAGACCAGAGTCCAGTGAGATGTCTGCAAAGCCTATGATGCCATATCTCCAGACAACCTCTTTTTTGGTGGTCTTCAGAGTGAGGAAGTGACCACACACAGAAACAAGTCCTGGTACCCTCAGATGGCAGATGACCCATCAAATTTTACATTTGGAAGCCATCCTGAAGTTTCTAGTGCTTGGATCTCCTTTCTATTTCCCGTGCCAAATGAAAATCTCCTAAGACCCATCTAGAGACAGGAGCTCTGTCACCTCCTGAGGCCTGGGGGCTCAGGGATGGCTGCCTCTCTGTGACTTCCCACCCCTGGTCCTGGTGGAGTCTCCACTTTCCAGACTCAGTTTCGCTTCATTGTTTCCCCAGGCTGGAGGCATCTGCAGATCAGCCCTGGTCAAAATGCCCAGCACAGGAGCTGGCTTCCATGGGTCAGAAGCAGAGTAATCTTTGCTGAACTGGAAGAGCTAAACCTCAAAAACTAACACCTCTCCCTGGTTAATAGCCAAGGATGACTTTCATCAGTGTGTCTTATTTTGTGGGCAAAGAAACTGGGTGATTGATTCATCTATCTACTCATCCACTTCCTCACTGGACAATAGTTATTAAGCACCTACTGTGTGCCAAGTCCTAGGAACACAGAAATGGATTCCTGTCCTCAAATTTCACAAGCTGGTGGGGGAGATAGCTACACTGAAATTAATTGTAACAGAGTGATATGCGCTATTAGGTCAGGGCCAGGACAAGAAGAGGTGAATAAGATACTCGTCTCAGGGACAAATTCAGTGTAGTGCCAAAATCTCAGTAAACAAGATAAATAATATTTTAATGTCTTTTTTTTTTTTTTTAGATGGAGTTTCACTTTTGTTTCCCAGACTGGAGTGCAATGGTGCGAGTTCGGATCACTGCAACCTCTGCCTCTCAGGTTCAAGCGATTCTCCTGCCTCAGCCTCACAAGGAGCCGGGATTACAGGTTCCTGCCACTACGCCCGGCTAATTTTTTGTATTTTCAGTAGAGACAGGGTTTCACCATGTTGGACAGGCTGGTCTCAAACTCCTGACCTCAATCGATCCACCCGCCTCGGCCTCCAAAAGTGCTGGGATTACAGGCATGAGCCACCGTGCCCGGCTGAGATCAAACTTTTAAATGAAGACAGGATCAGTGTTATTAATTTTTCCTTTTGCTTCAGGCTCCAACATGGCTTGGCATGGCACTGTATTATGGGGGCTGTATGGGGGTGTGGCTGCTGTGAGACAGAAAACACATCTGATCCAGTCAGTGATGTGCTGGAATTGGCCCAGACCGGCTGGCATGCCTCTTCCCAAATTTACACTCAAAAACTGCATGTTGTTAGCTCAAAATTGGCCACGATGGACATCTTTACACCATGGAAATTGGCAGATGCTAAAAATCAGGACTTTCCCCTCCGTTTTCAGAAAGTTGGCTGTTAAATATTTACCAACACATGGCTATACGCAGCCTGCAGTGGGGTGGGATGAGCCAGGTGTGGGGGATTTAAGAAAGGTTCCCCAGAGGAGATACTTTCTGACTCTTGCAGAATAAAGATCTAGAAAAGGAGAGAAAAAAACATCCCCCCTACCCTGGCCAAAGAAGAAACTTAATATGCAAAGCACCAAAAGAATGGGAAAACCTGTATTTTATTTAAGAAACTGCAAGGAGCTGAGTGTAGCTGAAATGTGTGATTTTGTAGAAGAAGGAAGTTTTGAGGAGGCCACAGCACCAAATGATGACCCCAAATTGAGCAAGATCTGGGTCTATGCTCAAGGGATTCGACTGTAGATCCAGTGGAGAAGGAGGGAGGGAGCTGCTTCTGAATTGTCCATAGTACTGGGCTAGGTAAGAGACGGCAGCATGAGCTAATAAATGTTTTTAGATGGAGTTTCGCTCTTGTTGCCCAGGCTGGAGTGCAATGGCGCAATCTTGACTCACGGCAACCTTCACCTCCCAGGTTCAAGCGATTCTCCTGCCTCAGCCTCCCGCGTAGCTGGGACTACAGGCATGCGCCACCACGCCTGGCTAATTTTGTATTTTTGTTAGAGACGGGGATTCTCCATGTTGGCCAGGTTGGTCTCAAACTCCTGACCTCAGGTGATCCACCCACCTCGGCCTCCCAAAGTGCTAGGATTACAGGCGTGAGCTGTTGCACCCGGCTGCTAATAAATGTTTAATACCAGGGTCTCTGGGGGAAAAGAGCCCTAATTAATAGCATTTGCTAATTTCTGAGGTGTAAATACTCCCGTCACAGCCTGTTTGAAGCTACCTTGGTGATATCACTAAACACCAAGTTGAGAAGAGGTGCTTGGTAGCATATCATTATATTGAATTTCCACCCCCCACACTTACAATAGATGTAAATAACTTCAAGCGTATAGAAAACAGTAAAATAACTTGAAAGAGATGAGTTTGGGGTATTTTATCACTTTTAATGTAACTCACCTAATTGTAAGTTTATACAATTAAAGTTTTAATAATGGCTTGTTTAACAGCAGCTCACACGATTTTTGAAAATTCAGCCGTCTGTCCTCTTGAGCTTATTCCAGGTTTCTCCCACTGGAGAAGGCATTTTGGTCCATTTCTATGGAAGTGCTGGGGGCTCCCAGATGTCCTGGGCTTCATTTTCCTAACCTGTGGGACTAGAGCAGATTTACCATGAAGTCCCAAGGATCCCACACATCCAAGACTCTGGGTGGCTTCCTGGGATAAGGCAGCAGTCCCCAGGATACCAAAGTTAAGAGCAAATGATTCTCAGAGAGATTTTCATCCAGGAAAAAGAACAGTGCGATGCCAGCTTTGGCATAATATTTCACGTCCTCATCAGCTGTTCACTTCAAGAATGCTGTTTTATTCAGAAGCCACTGGCACCTAAACCATCTGAGAAAACAAAAATAACGATAGTAGTAATAAATACAACCTATATTTATTTTACTTTTTCCATGCACTAGATACTGTTCTAAGTGCTTTATATACATTAGCTTACTTAATCGTCAAATCCTAGGCACAAGGTAGATATTATTATTAAGATATCAGTGTAAAAGATGAGGATGCTATCATTATCACAATTCAAATGGTGGAGAAACTTGGATACAAAGAGTTAAACAACACACCCAAGACCATAGAGCCAGAGATGGAAACTGGGATTTGCACCAGGTAGCCTGCTATTAGCTACTATCCACATTGACCACAAAGGCGGCAAGAGAGAAGGAAAGTGCTTTTGCAGTCCAAGGCAACTAGAGAAGATCTCATTAGCTTGAGGGGCATATTGTGCCAAGATCATCTGGATTTGACCTGATAGCTCACCTTCCAGGGACTGGTGAAGTTGGGAGAAATGAGTAATTACCACGGACGTGCATGTCAGTTTCTCCAATTTCATAGGTGAGGAAAAGGCTTAGAGAGGTAAAGGGAGTCTGTCTCTCCAGGTGCTATGGCTACTCTAAGGTGGCACTGTGTGTCAACTTGGCCGCACCCTGCAACCAGCCTCAGGCAACGGGCTTCATATGAAATCATAACTCTTTCTAGATATCTAGATAGGTGAGACCCCAAATAAGAATCTGGTTGAAAAAAAATGCAGAAAAGATGGGGTGAAATACCCCTCAATGAATACATTACCCAATCTAAGAGCGAGAGGAGTGCTATCACCCATCTCTGATCACCTATTAGAGTATTTATTGTCATCTCCCTTTTAAAAAGTTTTTAAAAAAATATTTTGAGACAGAGTCTTGTGCTGTCACCCAAGCTGGAGTGCAGTGGCATGATCTTGGCTCACTGCAACCTCCGCCTCCCGGGTTCAAGAGATTCTCCTGCCTCAGCCTTCTAAGTAGCTGGGATTACAGGCATGCACCACCATTGCCCGGCTAATTTTTGTATTTTTAGTAGAGATGGGGTTTTGCCAGGTTAGCCAGGCTGGTCTCGAAATCCTGACCTCAAGTGATCCACCTGCCTCAGCCTCCCAAAGTGCTGGGATTACAGGCATGAGCCACTGCACTCAGCCTGTCATATCCATTTTGCTTGTGTAAACACCTGAGGCTGTGGTAGGATCCTGCCCTAAGGATAGCAATTAGGGCTCCACTGAAAGAAGACCGGTAGGACTCAAAACGACAATGTGTACACACCTACAGTTCTTTCAGGAAAAGGGCACAACATTCCAACTGCATTAACGTAAGAATCTGCTTCACAGCTAAAGACCATCTCATAGCAAGGGGTCTGGAGAGGCCAGGCATGAGCCCCCATTGTCCTTCCCTTGAAAGGCCATACCAATATGTACTTCTTCGCTCGGATCAGAAGCCACAGACGTGAGTATGGAATACCTATAACCCAGGAGTCCCAAATGGAGTCTCACCTGAAGTTTTTCATTCCCGTTTGGTCATTTTAGGTATATTCTTGCTATGAAACCAGCGCCAGTGGCAGTTCCCTCCATGGGTCTCATGAAAGCCAGATACAAATTGTTAGTCCCTTGTTATTAGAAAACAATGCTGACAAGTTGGCACAAATCACCCTGAAACTCCTCAGAGCAACACTATTTATCAGCATGTTTCATGCCTTAACAAGGTCATGCAGTCACAGGCCCGTAAGCCACAAAGACAAGGGAAACATATTCAATAAGCATTAATCCAGATAGGCTAAAAGGATAGATGATACTTTCTTTTTTTTTTGATGGAATCTTGCTCTGTCCCCCAGGCTGGAGTGCAGTGGTGCAATCTCAGCTCACTGCAAGCCCCGCCTCCTGAGTTCATGCCATTCTCCTGCCTCAGCCTCCCGAGTAGCTGGGACTACAGGTGCCTGCCACCACGCCTGGCTAATTTTTTGTATTTTTAGTAGAGACGGGGTTTCACCGTGTTAGCCAGGATGGTCTCCATCTCCTGACCTCGTGATCTGCCCACTTCGGCCTCCCAAAGTGTTGGGATCACAGGCGTGAGCCACCATGCTCAGCCAAGCATAGATGATACTTAATAAGGGCTCCACTCAGGGGGACAAAACTTTACTGCACCAGAGGAGGGAGGCACATGAGAAAATCTTAGGGGTTTCTAATGGTCATCAGCTCAGTGTGAATGTTGTGGTGTGGCTGCCAAAAAAGTTAACATGCACGCAGGTTGCATTAACAGGAGCATAGATTATATATGGGAGAAGGTGATAGTCTTGCTCAACTCTGTGCTAGCCAGATGCCACCCAAACCCTTGAGCTTTGCTGTGGTCACTTGGCAGTAGTTGGGTACTGACTGCAATGCCCTTGGAGAAGACAATGATGGAAGATATGAAAGGGGTATCAGATGAGGAGTGATTGGAGGAAATGAGAATGCTGGGCCTGGAAAAAGGAGGGCCTGTGGGGAAGGCAGGGTTGTTACTTTCAGAGAGTGATTTGAGCCACACAGTCAGGCTTCAGCTGATTCAAGAGTTGCTGTTCTCAATAGTCACTGTAAAAGGAGCTCTAGCATGATGACACTTGGAAATGCATCTGAAAAGCTCTTTGCAGAAATGGCTTCTTGGATGGGAGGCATAGTGGGGTGTGTGTGTGTGTGCGTGCGCGTGCGTGTGCGTGTGTGCGCGTGTGTGGCTCCTCTGTCCTCATTTTGTGACAAGGAGAAGCATCCAACTTTTCCTGGAACTAGCCGCAAGCAGTAATGTATCACATTGCATGGTCTGGGCATGGGGTAATGAGGCAGCCAAGATCTTGGAGTGCAGATTGCAGCTGGAGGAGGGAGAATGAAGTCTCTCTAACACAATTGACTCTCCAATGTGGCTGACAGCAGATTTGCCACATAGGAGTTGACTGACCGCATCATGGAACCAACCAGGCACTGGACTGGATGAATTATCAACTCTGAAATTCACCAGGTGGTTCCATCACCGGCTGACGCTGACTGGTTACTCCTCGCATTGTGAAGGGAACTCATCCCCTGCACGCGCGCGTGCTCACACACACGCACACACGCACATGTGCACACACGCACATACACGAGTCTTGGTATATTGTAATGAACACTGGACTTAGGGCCACAGTTCTAGTCCCAGTTTTGTCACCTTGCTGCTGACTGAACTTGGGCAAGACTCTGATTTGGATTTGGTTTATTCATCTCTAAATCAGAGATGCAGATATCTGTCATGTCAACCTGATGAGGTTGTTGCATGAAAATCCAAAATGCTAAACGTGACATTGTTTCGGCCATGAATGGAGGAGGGGATTGTTATTGTCATTGTCATTGGGATCCCCTGGTCTATTTGGTACAGACCAAAGTTTTTGTTACATTGATATATAAGCTAGGATGCTTTCAGCTGCCAGTGGGGGAAACTCAACTAAAAGTGGTGTCAACAATGAGGGACACTTGTTTTGAGAAACGTCAGTCCAACCTGGCTAAAAATACAAAAAATTAACCAGGTGTGGTGGCGGGCGCCTGTAGTTCCAGCTACTCGGGAGGCTGAGGCAGAAGAATGGCGTGAACCCGGGAGGCAGAGCTTGCAGTGAGCCGAGATAGCGCCACTGCACTCCAGCCTGGGCGACAGAACGAGACTCTGTCTCAAAAACTAAAAAAACTAAAAAAACAAACAAACAAAAAAGCGCATCCCCCCCGTTCTTTCTTTCCTTTTTTTTTTTTTTTTTTTTGAGGCGGAGTCTCGCTCTGTCGCCCAGGCTGGAGTGCAGTGGCTGGATCTCAGCTCACTGCAAGCTCTGCCTCCCAGGTTCACGCCATTCTCCTGCCTCAGCCTCCCGAGTAGCTGGGACTACAGGCACCGGCCACCTCGCCCGGCTAGTTTTTTGTATCTTTTTAGTAGAGACGGGGTTTCACCGTGTTAGCCAGGATGGTCTCGATCTCCTGACCTCGTGATCCGCCCGTCTCGGCTTCCCAAAGTGCTGGGATTACAGGCCTGAGCCACTGCGCCTTTTTTTTTTTTTTTTTTAGGACGGAGTCTCGCTCTGCTGCCCAGGCTGGAGCGCAATGGCGCAATCTCATCTCACTGCAACCTCTGCCTCCTGAGTTCAAGTGATTCTCCTGCCTAAGCCTCCCAGATAGCTACGATTACAGGCATGCACCACCACGCCCAGCTAATTTTTGTATTTTTAGTAGAGATGGAGTTCACCATGTTGGCCAGGCTGGTATCGAACTTTTGACCTCAAGTGATCCCCCTGCCTCAGCCCCCCAAAGTGCTGGGATTATAGGTGGGAGCCACTGCACCCAGGATCCTGTTCTTTCTGCCTTCCTCTTGGCCACCCTCAGTCTGTTGGCCGTGGACCTAGGGCTTGTCACCTCACAGTGGCAAGATGACTGCAGCCTCTCCACACAGTACAATCTCATCCCACAAAGTCCAAAGGGCATAAAGGGACAGGTCGCTGGTCTGTGTCCACTTGAAAAGGTGGGGAAAACTTTCTCAGAAGGCCCCAGCATATGCAATTCTTCTCATATTTCAGTGGTCCGACTGTATCTTATGTCCATGACCAAGCCACTCACTGGCCAGAGGAAGGAGGCCACCATGCTGGGCTTTGTTCAAATAGGGTTCAACCCTTGGGGTTTGGGAGGGACACAGTCTCCACTGAAGGACAAAGAGGTTGAATGAAGATGAAACTGTTAGCAAAGACACAACAACAGTGTCCGCCCCTGTTGCAGGGATGTCCTTGGATGATGGTCAACCCGCTCCCAGCTCTGCCTCTCTTCCCTCCCTCCCTCCTTCCCTGCTTCTTCCCTCCCTTCTTTCCTTTGTCCATCTAAGATTTACTGAGGGGTTCTATGGACATGACACAGCCATAGCCTTGCAGGGCTCCTTGTTGTATAGGTGTGTGGTGTAACAGGCAGGATGGGGGCTGGCATGGCAGAGCGGAGGGACAGGACTCCAGTGAAGAAGAGCAGGAAGGGCATTTCTAGGCAGAGGTGGCCACAGGAGCCAAGGCCTGAAATCATCTATTGCTTTCATCCCCACACTGGGCTGCTGGGGGTGACCCAGAACTCATCACTAAGGGCTTGTCTGGTATAGCCAATAGTTCGGACACATTACCGGGCAGAGGCCAGAGACCTTAACTTGCCACAGTGCTCACATCTGGAAAATGGATCTAATTCTTCCAAGGATGACTAACTGTGCTGAAGGTTGTAGAGACAGGTTTGACCCTCTGCGGTTAGACACAAAGGTGGGGGGCCCTGCTTCTTCATACCAGCCCCACCATTAACTTTGTGTGACTTTGAGAAAATTATGAACGCTGTCTCTGAGACTCAGTTTCCCCACCTGTAAAATGAGGAATTTGGGCTAGGCAGCTCCTTAGGTTCTTCCAGGTCTGAAATGTCTCATGGGGCCCCGCATCCGGGTCAGTGTTGGCCACCATAAGTGGGCTTTGGATCTCACAGCCCTCTGCCACTTGGCCTAGCCCTTGGGAAATAAACCCAGAGAGGGGAAGAGGCAGAAGGGCCCAGATGGTGGGACCATGTGCCTAGAAGGTGCTGCCCTCCCAGTGGTGGCCTGGGAGCTTCTTTGACCTCTGCCCTTATTCCTTCTGGAAGAGTGATGTAGTCCAGGCCAGAGTGACGTAGTCCTGCAGGCAGAGCCCAGGCCCTAAGAGAGCAGTGGGCCGTGAGGATAGCCAGCACTGGCTCCAGCCACCTGTCCTGGGGAGAGAAATGGGCCTGCATTGCCTGGAGTGGGTGAGGGAGACACTATTAGAATCTGCCTCACTCTCCAGCCTGGAATTCAGTTCAATTCATTTTACCAAAATGCTTTGTCCTGGGTGCTAGGAATACAGCCATGAGCAGGGCAGAGCAGCCCCTGCCCTCAGGGAATGTATGGTCTACATTTAACCGAGGAATTACAGGAATGAAAAGTCAGTGGGGACCCATTCCTGCTTTCCCCTGGTTCTTCCGCTGAACGTGACTCACTCACTCATTTCTTTCCCTCCATTCTTTCTTTCCTGCTTAAACATCACCTCTTCAGAGAAGGTGATATTTAAATAAAATAGCTCCTATTTAAATAAAATGGCCCCACTCATCATTCTCCCATTCCACTCCCTGCTTAGAGGCCTTCATAGCACTCATGACAACCTGACGTCATAGAAAAGATTTGTGTATTTCCTGTTCCTCTGTTAAGACAGGTGCTTTGTGTGTATGTTCTTCAGTATATCTATCTATAGCACCTAAAATCGGGTCTTCTGTATGCATTGGGTCTGCACGTACCCAACAAATATCTGTTGGTGGGTGAGGGTCATCATGGAGGAGAGGAAGGAGATGGCCGGGGGAGTTAACCTGGTCTAATCTGCTGAATTTACTTTCTTTCATGTTTTCATTGAGGCCTTCATTCCATCATTCGCTCAGCACTTGTGGAGAACTTCCTGTGTGCCAGGCATTGTGCTTTGTGTTGTTTTCAGAAGCTAAACATGGCAGCCCCATCCAGCAGGGACCACAGCTTGTATTTGCCAGTGGCCCGCTCAGGGCCTGAAGCATGACAGCATCTCCCTACCAGGAAAAGAATGACTCCATGGTTAGACACGTATTGTGTGCGTATCCTCTGCTACATGCAGGGTGGGGCCCCCAAATGAAAGAAAGACCCAGCCTGGTATGCCCACAGCAGTGCAGGGTATCGGAAAGACTGGAGGACTCCAGTTCTTCTCCTGGTGGGAGGACCCTAGTTCTCCTCCAAGCTCTGCAGTGTGACTTAAACATGCTTGATTTGAGGCAGGACTTCCTGACCTGCATTTTTTTTTTTTCTTTCTCTTTGCTGGCCTCCTTCCTCAGACCATAGCACTTCTAGAGCAGAAAACCCAATCTGGTGCACAGTGGGTCTTCAGAAGCAGCTTGGTGGTTAAATGGATGTGGATTGATACTTGGGGCAGTATGCAACCTCTGTCCCGCAGGTTAAGACTTCCTCTAGGCCGGGCGCAGTGGCTCAAGCCTGTAATCCCAGCACTTTGGGAGGCCGAGACGGGCAGATCACGAGGTCAGGAGATCGAGACCATCCTGGCTAACCCGGTGAAACCCCGTCTCTACTAAAAAAATACAAAAAACTAGCCCGGCGAGGTGGCGGGTGCCTGTAGTCCCAGCTACTCGGGAGGCTGAGGCAGGAGAATGGTGTGAACCCAGGAGGCGGAGCTTGCAGTGAGCTGAGATCCGGCCACTGCACTCCAGCCTGGGTGACAGAGTGAGACTCCATCTTAAAAACAAACAAACAAAAAAAGACTTCCTCTTACGCCAGGTGTGGTGGCTCGTGCCTGTAATCCCAGCACTTTAGAAGGCTGAGGCTGGAGGATCGCATGAGCCCAGGAGTTCAAGACCAGCCTGGGCAACAAAGTAAGACCCTGACTCTACCAAAAAAAAAAAAAAAAAAAAAAGACTTCATCTAGAGTGGTTCATTTATAAACATTTCGTGAGCATCTACTCTGTGCCCACCATTAAAGTTATTGCAACCACAGCTTGTCCTAAGGCAGATGTGCCACAGAGACCGATGGGTCCATGGCTGAGCTCCTTGAGCAGGGAGCAAACTATCTAGTTCCTGAAAGTCCCCACCAGGCCAGGAATTCCCATCCTGAGGCATCTACAGAGGCCTGGCAGCCCCTGTCCACCTGGTTCCCAGGCTTACTGGCTTCTGCTCCATAGAAATGGGCCCCTTAGGGCTGTTTGTTGAGTGCCCTGTCCCCTTTGCGGGGTGTGTAATGGCTTGGTGTCTTCCAGATTCAACGTCCATCAGAACAGTTCATGCCCAGTCACTGGCTCTGTGCCAGGAACCTGCCTGGCAGGAAGACTGGGTGTGGGGAGACAGCAGAGGCAGGATACAAGTCCCTTCCTTGGAATTCTCCCCAGTGTCCATGCCTCCTCTTCCCAGCTGCCCATGAGCTCCTGGAAGGCCTTGAGCCTCATTTCCTTCCCCACCTAGCAAAATGCAATTAGCCCTCAATATTCACATACAGAATTGGATTTCTTGTTGAATAACAGTCTCATGCCTCCAAGCTCAAAGGGCCCACACAGATCATCATGTTTGATGCACCTATTTTACAGATGGGCAGAGTGAGGCTCTGAGAAGGGATGCCCTCAATCATTTTGGGTTCTCACGGCATTCTCACGGTCTTTTGGGCTGCCCTGGGTGAAGCAGGCAGTGTTCCCTGGCACTAAGCCTTGCCTATTCAGATTTGTGAGTGAAATTTGGAAAGGCCTTGGTGCTTAGCCACTGACCTGCTGCCTGCCTGACCTTTCAGGAAATGCAGCCTATTGCCTGGAAATGGCTTTGTGGACAGTGAGTTGTGTTGGCATCACCCACACAATACGGTGGGGAGAACTGGATAGTTTCCCTAGTTTCTCACTGAGCCCCACCTCATCAATCCTCCTTCAAAACCTGCCTGAAATCCACCTCTATCCTCCTGCCCTTTTTGTAATTATTTCACTGGAGATGTCCTTCTCCTCCGTGGCTGCACATTTATCCAACACGCCCTTTAGGATCCAAATGCCACCACCTCCTCCTGGGAGCCTTCCTATGTTTCTTTCCATCCCTTAATCAGCTTCACAATTCAATTGATCTACATCTCTTTGACAGCATTTATCACATTCTCCTTATATTATCTTATCTTTATGCAGTTGCAGGGGGTTCTCCATGACATAGTGATATCTGATGTCTCCCATCCAGACTCTCTTCCCTACCCCAAGTTGCTGTGCATGTCTCCTGCCCACATTACAAATGCGTGCATGACTGGAAGGCAGGACCATGTGGACATTTTTGTCCCTCACAGTGGCAGACCCTTTCCCCCCAGAGTCTTGTACAGGGGTTTGCATACTGTAGGAGTTAAAACAAATAACTTACTTAAATTACCAATGGTTTGAGCATCTATCCTATCCCAGGCTCCATGTGTCAGGCTGGGTGCGGGGACACAGAAATGGATCTGACAATGACAGCGCCATGTGATGTGTGCTGCAATCCCGGTGTAGGGCAGAGCAGCTCATCAGAGTCAGATGAGCTCTGGGCTGCACCTAGAAGAACAACGAGGTTGTGAACAGGCAGAAAAGGGGCAGAGGGAGAACCTGGGAGGAAACAGTATGGAGAAAGCATCGAAGTAGCCAAGCTTACCTGAGCCTGGGTGCAGGAATCAGAGACTGGAGCTCAGGAGGCCGGATCTGAAGCTGGGGAGGCTGGTGAGGATCTGCACAGAGCCCTTAAGGACTAAGATTTGGATCCTCGTGACAAGATGCAGAAGTTTGGAGTTAGGTCACCTGGGTTCAAATCCCACCTCCACCACCTACCAGTTTATGTCAGCTTTCCCATCTGTAAATGGAGAGAAAAAAGCAGGCCTCCCTTAAATCCCAGCACTGTGTGGGTCAGGGTCTGGACTAGGGCGTGGCACATGCAGAGACGCAGCATACCAGGAGATGCCAAGAAAACTCAGCAGTGGAGGTAAATTGCCCAAAGCAGCGCCCCTGAACCCCTAAGTATCAAGATAATATTTTAATGCAATACTTTTAAAAGCATCAAAATTAATTCAAAACCCCACAATGAACAAAATATCTAAAATGTAAATAAAGACAGGGTCTGCATGATGCCAAGTATGCAACTAAAAAAACATCAGTTATGATTGGAGAGGGAGTTCTCAACCTTAGGGGGCCGTGGACTTCTGAAAACCGGAGGAAAGTCCATGGCCCCTCTCCCCTGAAGAATGCACAAACATGCTCAATTTGTGCATAGTTTGGGGGTATTCCCGCACTCCCTGGGGTTCGTGCACATGGAAGTTAAGAACTCTGGTTCAACACTGGGGGTGTGGGGGTGGCGGGGGTGGCTCCACACGCCGGCCAGGAGCCTGCCAGTTCCCCAGTCCCACAACGGGCCTCCCTCCTGGCAGCCATGGGTGCTCTGCCCTCTGCAGGAAGCAGCGCACAGTTATGCAGCTCCCCCAACCCCCCTACCTTCCCTCTCTCGGCTTGGGACTTTTCCTAAAGTTTGTTGAAACCAGACACCTTGCTCGACGGAGCCCGCTTGCAGCCAGGGTTTAAAAGGCCGCCTTCAGCGCCCCCTCCCCGCCCCCAGCGGAGACTTCAAAAGGCCCGTCGGGCGCCGCGGCCCCAGCACCTATGAGCCGCCCCCAGCTCTCGGAGCCCGCGCTGGAGCCCGTGGACGCAGAGCGGCTGAAGTTCGAGCGCAGGCGGACCGGGCCGGCGGCGCAGTCCCGCGCGCCCATGCCCCTCCCGGTGCCGCTGCGCTCCGCGCGCCCGCGCCCCGTTTAGGGAAGGGGACCTCGCCCCCCCGCCCCCGCGCCCACGGCTGCGGGGACCCATGAATACAAATGCCGTTAGGCGCCGGAGGAAGGACCGACCGGCCAGGCTCGCACTTAGGAACCCAGTAAGTGCTTGGGGGCTCCTGGAGCGTTGGGAAGTGTTCTGTGCCTATGTGTGTGCGCGCGCGTAAAGGTGTGCGCGTATGGGGAGGTGGATACACGCGTGAGGAGTAAATGCGTGTGTGCACGTGTGCGGTGGGCACTCTCGGAGATCTGTGTGCAAGTGAGGGTGTGCGCGCGTGTGTGCACCTGGGGTGTGTACACGTGCGGGGACGATATGGCCAGGATAGTGTGCGTTTGTGCCTGTGTAAGCATCCATGTGCATGCGATTTCGAGTGTAGAGTATCAGCGTGCGCCTGAACCCGGATACCTGAGGATGCATTTCGTGTGAACCTAGGAAGGGTGCGTGGCTGTCCCTGCCTGTGACCGGGTGTGAGCGTGTGTCTGAGTTTGGGGAAAGCGTGGATACGTGTGGAAGTGTGTGTGTGCACCGGCGTATAAGTGTAACTTTGCTCGTGAACGAGTGGCAAGAGGTGGTAGAGGCGGGGGGAGCTGTGGTCCCAGGGCTGGACTGGGGTTGTGGGCGTGAGAATTTGCTCGGGGGCCAAGGTGTGCAGCTCTTAGCTCCAGTATGGGATCCGAGGGAGTTTTTGTCGATTCTGTGGAGGTGCGTGAGGGGGCGGGGGTGCGGTTAGATTCCAATTTCTGACAGAAGGGAGAGAGAGGGTGGCAAACCTTTAACAAGCCCACTCTGTGTGTTCTCCAGGGCGCTCCGAGTCTGGAAGCGCAAACTTTTGGTGGGCGGTGGAGGTCAGGATACTGGTTGTCATGGGAGTCTGGACACCAAGTCCTGGTCCTAGCTCTGTCCCTGAAACTGTGGGTTTCTTCCAGGAGTAGAATTTGGCCCTTCTCCCTCTACCCCAACCCCCCATTGGAGGACCCCCAGCCTCACCAGTCAGAAGTTCCTAATCTCAGAACGGTGATCAAATCACCGTGAAGCCTTGGGCAGCCCCTGCCTCTCTGTGAATCTGTTTCCCCATCTATACAAGGGGGAGGGGGGCGGGTGTCCCAGCGGGGCTGTAGTGGGCCAGCTAAGGCTGTATCCTTAGCTGCTGCCGGCAGGGGGCAGCAGGGGGCAGCAGAGGGCGGCCCGGCGCGGGGAGGAGGGAAGGTGGAGAGACACCGCGGGCCGAGACTTTAAATCGCCTTCATTTCCCCCAAATCCTTCCTTTTCCTCTCCTCCCCCAGGCCGGCGGGGAGGCAGCTTCCACCGCCCTCCGCGCGCCCTCACCCGGCCTTGCTCTGCCTCCGGGGACCGCCAGCAGCCCGCCTCCAAAAGTTTGATCATCTCTCTCTCTCTTTTTCTTGCTTCTTCTTCCTTTTTGGTGGAAGCAGAAAAGGAGCGAGGCAGGGGCGAGCGCGGCGCCCGGACTCCTGGGACCATGGGCCTGGCGCGGGCGCCCGCGGGGCCCCAGCCGCGCTGCCTGCCTGCTCGGGCGCCCCTGGGCGCGGGGCTGCTCTGGGGGCGCGGGGGCCGCGCGCTCTGAGCCGGCCTGGCGCGGCTGGGCGGGGGGCTGGCGGCCCCATGGGGCGCGCCCACACTTGCCCCCCGGGCTCGGGAGCATGAAGTAGGGGCCTGCCATGGGAGCGGGATCGGCGCGGGGGGCCCGAGGCACAGCGACGGCGGCGGCGGCGCACGGGGGGTGAGTACGAGCTCGGGGACGCCCCCTCCCCAGCTTCCTGCTGCTCCAATCTCGGGGAGGGCCGGGGTTCCCCGCCACGCGGTCGCTTCCAGCGGAACGTCAGCTTCCTGTCCCTTCCTGCGCCCCCGCGAGGCGGGACGCCAAGGGTTAATAGGGGCTGCGCCCCCGGCCGGGCGAGAGTTGGCGAGCGCTGCCCGCCCTGCCGCGCCTGGCCCGGCTGCCCGATCCCGTTGGGGCGGGGGCAGAGCCAGCCCGGGGGTCGGGGGTGGGGGTGGGTGGTGGCGCCTGGAGCGGCCGGCGGGGTGCGGAGGGGGGCTTTTTGGATGCCTGGGGGAGGAGGGGGGGTCTCCGTTTGGGGCCGTGTCGGTGTGTTCCGGTGTCTCGATGTCTGCAGGTCCCAAGCCTGTACGTCTCCGTTTCTATCTGTTCTTGTGAAATTGTCCGCAAGTTTCTAGGTCACCAGGTCTCGGGTTCTGCTCCTGTCTCCGTGTCTGTGTGCCTCTGCACGTCCCCGCGTTTCTGGAAATATCCGCGTGTATGTGTGAGTCGGCCTGAGTCTGTGTGTCTGTTTCCTGCTTCTCGGTTCCTGTCCCTTTCACGTGTGTAAGAGAGAAAAAGTGAGAGCCAGCATGTCAGAGCAGAAAGGGCCCTGGGCGATCACTGTGCGGAACCTCTCAGTGTACAGATGGGGAGACAGGGCCGGAGAGGGGCAGGGACCCTCCCAGGAGCGGCTGCGCGGAGCTGGGGCCCAGAGACTGGGATTCCCAGCGTGTGGAGTAGGATTTGTAAGAGAGAGTGAGCCTGTGCTAGAGCCGGCGCAGCGTGTGGGTGTGTGTGGGAGCCAGCAGCATGGAGTCCCTCGGGGCCTGTGGACGGCGCTCCTCTCTTTCCATCCTGCCCCCAGGACACCAGGACACTCCCCAGAGGCTGTCAGGGCTGTAGCTGGGCCCTGCCCCCTCTGGGCTGGAATCCGCAGGATGACACCCCCTCCTTTCTTCCCCATGTCTTGGAAAAAGCTGGCTGGTTGTGATTCCCCAGCCCTGCACCCCCTCACCACAACACACACACACACACACACACATACACGGCACCAGTTAGCACGCTGCTGACTCATTTTCTCCAGAAGACCCTGCGCCAGGGTAGATGCCAGCAGTTGGGCAGAAAAGTGGTGCCAGGCGAGCACCCCATGGTGGAGCTCCAGCTTTGGGCAAGTGGGCCGCCACACTGCTCAGAGGCCCAGTCTCTGCCTTCTCCTGCCTCCCTGCCTCCCTGCCTCCCTTGCCATCATGTCATCCTCCATCATGTGCGCTCTGGCTCCAGCATGCCTCTGCTCTCCATCATGCCTCTGCTTTCCAGCATGCCTCTGCCCCTGGACCCTTCTGGCCGGACCAAACTCCATGTCATGTCTATGGACACATCCCTGGCCTCTGCTTCTTTCTGTTTCCTCCCGGTACTCAGAAAATTCTCCCTCTCCTGTGCCTCCACCGGCCCTGCGGACCCCCAGCAGCCAGCAGCTTCCTGGTGGTCTCTGTCCCTTTCTGAGCACACTGCCCCTGTTCTTTGTTGGCATTTTCTCTCCTCCATCTCTGTCCAGGGACCCTCTTGACACCCACCTGTCTGGTTTGGCTATGCAGAGTACCATATCCACTGGTGGTAAGGGACAGCAGTGAGACACGGAATCATGTTCGTGGGAGGCAGGTGGCACCACAGGAGGGCCACGAGCCTTGCCATCAGGCAGGCTCGAGTTTGAATCCTAACTCTGCTACGCGAGCTTGGGTGAGCCACTCTGCTGCTTGTTCTTCTCCTCCACAAAACTGGCACCTTGTTCCCAGCTGGCTGAGTTTTGTGAAGATGAACAGGACCAGGCTTGTAAAGGGCTTATAACAGGGCCTGGCATGTAATAAGTGTTCAATAAACAGCAGCTGGTATTTGTATTATTCCCTTCATGTTGAATGGGTGTGTGAGTCAATGGGAAAGTTCTGGGCTGCATCCTGTCCAGACGATGACCTGTCTCTGTTCCCATGGAGGACGTGGAAGCTGTGAAGAAAGCCCAGGCATAGCCGTTTGGGCACAGGGGGTCTGGCCAGTCCACGGAGGCAGGTGGGACAGGTCCATCCGACTTGCTGCGCTGTAGTTCCAGTTAGCTCCCTTTTAAGCTTTTACCCCATGTGTGAACAGCCAAGCCTAGTGTCCATAGGGCCACTTTCCCTGTGCATTTATTTCTGTGGCCTGGGTCTCAGCTCAGAGCCCTCAGTGACAGTTGAAGCTGGTGTGGGTTTCCAAGGTCCTGTGGGTTTCCAGGTAATAAGGATGGAAGAAAACTATCCAAGCAGGCTGCCGGTTCTGGCAATGTAGTTACCCAGGAGTAGTCCCATTTGGTGCACTGGCAGAGGGCCTTTTGCAGGGCATAGGAACACCTGGGTTTCCTGCTTGGAGGGCTGTGTGGCCAGACGATGTTTCCGTGCGATGTTTCCTCACAGCTCCCATTTCGGCTGCCTCCTGGCCACCCTGGCCTCTGTGCTCTGGTCTTCCCGACATTCTGGAGCCCTGGGTTCGCAAAGCCAAGGCCCACAAAGCAAGTGGTGAAAACAGAAGTCTGAAAGAGCAAAGCCCTGAGGCAGCACAGGCACTAAACATGATTAGCAGTAGCCTAAACAGGATTGGAACGGGAGCAAAAGAATCGGCAGGGCCTCCCTCTGAGAGCCAACTTTCCAGGCCTGGAGCTGACTTAGATGACTCGTTGGCTCCCTGGGTTGCATCTCTGTGTCTGCTGGTGAAGGCTGGGGCTCCGGTCTCTGGCAAGTAGGAAGTCCCTGGAAGTCTTCAATTTCTGCTTCAATTTCTTAACAGATAGTCCTTTTCATTTGACTTGTCAAATGAAATGACTTGTCAAATGAAAAGGACTATCTGTTAAGTCATAGACTTGAAGCACTGTGTGACTTTGGGCAAATAACTTTCCCTCTCTGGGCCTCAGTTACCCATCTTGGCAAAGAAGGGAGAGAGAGGACTAGAATGTGACCCCTAGATGATCTTAAATGGCCTTCTCCCACTCCGACATGCTCTATACTTGGCAAGTTTATGAGTCAAGTGCACAGAATCCATTTCCAAGAGGGTCAGCTGCATTTGTCAGGGAGAATGAATGGAGGCTGAATACTTTTGTAATAGGCCTTCAGGGCTAACATCCTCAAGTTGGAAGCCACGGTGTTAGGAAGCTTAATTGAAAAGAAGATTCTGATTCCATGTCTCCTGTGAGACTTCTTTCTCTCGACTTTCAGGGATTACAAGGATGTATTCTCTAATTCTCTGCAGAGTAGTCACTTTGGTATAGCTGTAGCTAGGGAAATCGACCGAGAAGGACATGTATGGTTTTTGTACCTTCTCTTCCCCACCTTGCCTTTCTTTATCAGTTTGGGAAACTTCCTAACTTCCTAAGAAGTTTGGTATGCGACATAATCCGATGAAGGACTCAAGGAGTGAGGGCAGGTGCCAGACAAGGGCCAGGAAGAGAGGGGACTGGAAGGAGATGGAACAGAAATTAGTGGGGTTACAGGAACACAGGAGGGCAAGGGGCAGTCTCTTCTGAGAAGGCATTCACAGAAAAAATGAGTTTTCAGTTTGGGAACTGCTGAATGACAGAAAGTACAGGCAACTTGTTGATTGCAGGATTTCTCAGAGCCTTTGATATACAGGTGTGCTTTCCGGATTGTCAAGACTGGAATGCAGGGGACAGCTCTTCCCTAATGTATCTGGCCAATTTCCTAGAAAGCGTGTCTCTGGTGGGTGTGGGAAATACTACTGAAGAGTTATGAACCCAGACGCTGCCCAGGATGGAAGTACCTGCCTTCCCTGAGCCTCAGTATTCTCCATTTGTCTAATTAAACAAAGCTGCCTTTTATTTCTCTCCAGGGCTCATGCTATTGCCATTTGCCTCAAGGGAGCAAGTCATGCCAGAAAGGTTGGCCCTGCCTTCTCCCCAGGCAACCCCAGGGCAGCTTGACACTTTGACCTTTAGTCGTTGCCCATGGTGAGCTGGGGGCCTGGCCCCATGAAAAAGGCATTCTCCCAACAGTGGCAGCAGATTGGAGAGGATGAAGAGGAAGGACCAAGGATTATCTCGGAGCAATTCTGGAAAAAGTCAGAGCAGGGGAATTAAGGCTTTGGGAAGACATTTTTTAAAGTCCAGAGTCCTATAATACCAGGTAATATTAATTCATCTTATAAAAATATACTAGACACTTCCTATGTGCCTGCCAGGGGCTGGAAATGTAAGAGTGAATAAGCCCGGCATGGTGGCACATGCCTGTGATCTCAGCTACTCGGGAGGCTGAGGTGGGAGGAGAGCTTGAGCCCCGGAGTTCAAATCTAGCCTGGGCAACACTGTGAGACTCTGTCTCAAAAACAAAATGAAAAAAAAAAAACAAAACAGTGAATAAGACGGGTGTCCTTGCCCTTTAGAGACTTAGTCTAGACAGGGAAATAGGAGAGTAGACAATGACCACACATGTGAGAACCACCGTAGTGAGGCATGTGCAGTGAGCTGCGGGAGGCGACACCCATGCTGGGATCTAATGGATGTGCAGTAACTGACCAGTCAAAGGAGTAGTGTCTACATGATGGGAGTAGCATGTGCAAAGGCCCAGAGCTGGAGAAGGCGATCAGGGGACCATCATTGGCATCTGAGTGCTGTTTCAGCTGGTTTACGTTATGCTGCAAGTAACTGAAGACCCAACTCAAAATAGTTTAAAGGATAAGGGGGGTTATTCCCATATCAAGAGGCCTCAAGGAAGAGCAGTACTAGGGTTGGTGAATTTAACATCTCAACAGTGTCTTCAGACACCCACTATTTTTCTATTCTGCCATCCTCACGTGCTCTTGGGGCTTGTTACCTCATGTACCCAAAATGACTGCAGCAGCTCTGAGCAGTATGTCCTTACTCAACAGCATACGGAGGCTTGAAGAAAACCTTCTCTGCTTTCTCAGGGTCTCTAACAGGCATCCCTCACCTCTCACTGACCACATCTGGGTCTTACATGCATGCCTAAACCAGTCACTGGCATGGCAAATGAAATTCTCAGGATCAGCTTAGATTTATCCAGATTCACGTAGGATCCTGTAAGTCCATGCCTATGTGAGCAAGCAGGAAGGAGGGATGTCTGTGGGTATGTAATCACCAGTGTCTTCACCATGCCCCACAATGACAGAAGCTGTCATCTACGGTGCGCAGGGAGTCTGGGAAGAACCTAGGGTTCCAGTTATCAACCCTGGCAAACGGGTTTCCTAGATTACGTGATTCCACAGAAGCACACCATCCTAGCTTTCCTCTTGGAAATGCATCCTGGGCCTGTCTGTCCCAGCCTTAGCCCTCATCACCCACCTGACATAGCTCTCTTGCTGTGCCCCGGCTGTCTCTGGCCACGTGCCGCCCTCCCCTCTCCCTGCCTGGGGATCAGATACCCCAGGTGGCTTCGGGTGTCACTGGTGGCTGCTCCCACAGGAAGGTGAAATTGTATCATTGCCTTTGCCCATCTTGGCAAGAGCCACAGAGCAGAATTTTAACCCTTCCTGGCCCCAGAGTGTAGGGACAGCGGGGACCGTCTAGGGGAGTATTTTGCATGAGCTTATTGACTCCTCATGCCTGACCTGCGAGATAGGGAACATCAGCCCATGTTGTAGAAGACAAGACAGGCTCAGAGAGGCTGAGCGACTCATGCGGGTTCATACAGCTGAGAAGTGACAGGGCCAGGTTTGCAGCTGGCTTTGTCTAACTCCCCCTCATCCCCTCTGTTTTCTTTCTCCCACTTTCCATTAGGATAAAGCCAAGTCAGGAGCTGCCTTCACCCACACTGGTTCTGGTTAAGGGGTCTCCTCTCTCCTGCCCTGTGTGGGGATTGGTCTTCCAAGCAGACCAGCCTGATCTTCCCACTGACCTTTCACCCCTGGCTCTGCAGCCCATTGGCTGGGGTCTGGGGAAGGGTCTCAAGATCATGAGGCTGTAGTACAGATGGGGAGACTGAGGCTCGGAGAAAGGGAGGGGCTGGCCCCTGGTTGCCCATTGAGTCAGCATCAGATTTTGAGCTGGACCCTAGATGTTCCAATGACCAGGGCAGGGCTTCCTGTGCGCTGCTTCCTGCCCACTGACCTTGGCTAATCGATCTGTGAAAAGCAAGGCTGTGTTTGTGCATGTAACCAGGTCTTCACTGAGAGGCTGTGCCTGGAGGCCGGGAAGAGTGGGCTGCTGCTCTGATGGGGTCCTAGAGCCTGCACCTGGCCTCCTGCCTTCTGTGGGCAGGACTGGGGTGAGACTGGGACTGGTGTCCACTCCCAGCTTCCCCAGCCGGATCTGGGCGTGAGCGGGTGGAAGCTGATGCCGCCTCTGCTTGTGTCTCCTGGTCTCTAGGGGGTTTCTCTTCTCCTGGATCTTAGTCTCGTTTGCCTGTCACCTGGCCTCCACCCAAGGAGCTCCTGAAGGTAATTCTGTCTTCTCTTTGTCCAGGGGGAGACAAAGGAGAATGGAAGGGGCCTGAGAACTCAGGGGTAGGAGACAGCGGTGCCTGTAATCGGAACTCAGTGCCTCAGTTTTCCCATCAGCAGAATGGAGATGATAATTGGCAAATTCTCTTTAGGCTTGAAATAATCACATTTGAGGCCAGGCTCATGCCTGCAATCCCAGCACTTTGGGAGGCCAAGGTGGGTGGATCACGAGGTCAGGAGATCGAGACCATCCTGGCCAACATGGTGAAACCCCATCTCTACTACAAATACAAAAATTAGCTGGGCGTGGTGACACGCGCCTGTAGTCCCAGCTACTTGGGAGGCTGAGGCAGGAGAAACGCTTGAACCCAAGAGGCGGAGCTTGCAGTGAGCCAGATTGCGCCACTGCACTCCAGCCTGGCAACAGAGCGAGACTCCGTCTCAAAAAAAAACAAAATCACATTTGAAGTTTTTGTAAAGGGGTAGGAAAGACTCAGTGCAGAAATGCGGAAGGGGGATGCTTGTGTTGTTTCTGGGGCAGAATTTGAGTAAGTTACTCCGGTTTTAAGCCTCGGTTGTCCCTGTTTGTCCAATGAGTGCTGTTAAGAACTGCTTAAAAAAACAAAGCATTAAGCATTAACTGTCATGGCCCAAGCCTGGGATCCCATCTTCCCCTTCCCGTGAGATCCTGCTTTTCCCTCCTATCCCTAAGGGGCTGTCCAGGGGGCCGGGGCGGCGATGGACTGGCTCCACATCTGCCCAGGGAAACTGAAACCTCTCCCACATCTGTTTGTCAAGCAGCCGCGTGCCTCTGAAAATAGCCGCCCTTCCCCCGCCTTCACGCCCAGCCCTTGTGCTGGGGCAGGCAGCCTGGCACGCCGGGAGTCCCTGTGGCCTGACCTGGCCACTCGGCAGGGATTGGGCCCTTGGGAGGGCAGGGCTGTGCCCGGAAGAGACTTCTGCTGCCCAGCAACATTTTGTGCAAATGTCATATTTTCCAAGCTTGCTGTTTCCCCCACAAAGTAGGTGAACAGCTGTCCAGAGTCCTGAGTCAGGCACTGGGGCGGGGGGTTGGGGAGAGGCTGGAGCTGTGTGGAGCCAGGTTTATGTAATAAAGGGATATTGTGGGGGCCAGCTGGCAGGCTCCTTCTATCTTGGCGTTGGGCTGTATTTATTCCCCTGTCCCCCATCTCTTCACCGGTGATGGGATGCTGGATGTGTGTCCACCCTGCTTTCCAACAAGCCTGGGAGGCCCCCGGCAGAATAGCATCATGGCTAAGCACAAAGACCCCGGAGTCAGGTGGCCTGGGTTCAAACCTTGGCTGTGCCTTTTTTGAGCTGCAAGTTATTCCCTCTGACTCTTCCGAGCCCCCTCTGTAAAGTGAGGATAATAAAGAGTACCTGCTCCATAGATTGTTGAGAGGATCAAGTGAGATCATACCTGTAAAATACTTGGCATATAGTAAGTGCTCAACAAGTATTAGTTTTTCTTATTGGTGTTAATTAGTTACCTGAAAAATTCGGGCAAGAATAACCCTTTCCTATGCCCTGCGGTGCCCACAGTGGTCAGAGACTCATGGCAGCTCTGGGCTGGTCGCCTTTGCCAGGTGTCAGGGTTTGAGACTTTGCCCTTTAGCTGCAGATGGTCTTTGGGGGACACCTGGAGCTGGCTGGTTGTCAGCTTAGAAGTCCACCCAGTGGATAGGGGAAACCTCACCCGTGCTGCCTGGCCCAGCCAGTTGTGACTGTCTTTGGGTAAGTGCAGGTTGGCCCTAAATTCCATGTGTGGAGAGGGATGTGAGCAGGCCTGAGGAGCCCTCCAGGGGTTGTTGAGTGGGGACTAGAGGAAGGACCAGGTGGCTTCCTGCCCATACCTCTTGTCCAACCAAATGGCTCCTCCCATTCTAAGTCCCAGTTTATGGTGAATAATAGTGAATAGTATTTCATGATAATAAGAGGGTTTCAGTGATTAAAACAGATACCATTAAGAGAATCCTTAATCAGCAGTTTATTTTAGCTTAGAACCTGAGGGCAGACAGATGGGAGAAAGGATGGGAAGGAGGAGTTTGAAATGAAATGAAAGCCCCTTGGGTCCTAAGGAAGAATAAGGGTCTTAAACTCAAGCCAACCTGAACCAGCAACACAGAGCTATAGAATTCTTAGAACATGGCAACACCTGTGCTATCTCAAGGTCTGTTTCTCTTGTCTTACAGGCAGGGAATTGAGGTCCAAGTGTCAGTAAGAGACTCAAGCAGAGTTACTCAATGTGGGGCTTGGGTGAAGATGATGTGGAAGATGACCATATCATCCCCCTAACAACCCTATGGTGTAGGCGCTCTTTACAGCTCTGTTTCACAGTGGAAAGAACTGAGGCTCAGAGTCCAGGTTCACTGCTGGTCTTCTCAGGCTCTACATTTTGCCCTTCTGACTCCAGAGTCTGCTATAGAACCATTATAACATGCTGCCAGCACTCAGGTTCTCAGTTTCCCCCAGGAAACTGTCCTTCTATCCATTTATCCACCCATTCATCTGCCTATCCATTTACCTATCCATTTATCTATCCATCATCCATCCATCCATCCATTCATCCATCCATCCATCCGTCCATCCATCTATCCATCCATTCATCTACCCTTTCATCCACTCATCCATCCATTCATCCATTTATCTATCCATTCACCCATTCATCTTCTATCTACCAATTCATCTACCTATCCATCCATCCGTTAATCCACCCACCCACCCATCCATCCATCCAGCCAGCCATTATCCATCCATCTATTCATCCATCCATCCATCCATTCATCCATTTATCCATCCATCCACCCATCCATATGTCTATCTACCTATTCATCTATTATCCATTTATCCATTCATTTATCCATCCATCCATCCATCCATCCATCCACCCATCCATTCATCTACCCTTTCATCCACCCATCCATCCATTCATCCATTTATTAATTCATCCATCATCCATCCATCCATCTACCAATTCATCTACCTATCCATCCATCCATTCATCCACCTACCCATTCCATCCATCCAGTCAGCCACTATCCATCCGTCCATCCATCCATCCATCCATACATACATACATACATACATCCACCCATCCATCCATCCACCAATTCATCTATCTATCCATCCATCCATGCATTCATCCATCCACCATCCAGCCAGCCAGCCATTATCCATCCATCCATCCCTTCATCTATTCATCCATCCATCCATCCATCCATCCATCCATCCATCCACCAATTCATCTACCTATCCATCCATTCACTCATCCACCCACCCATCCAGCCAGCCAGCCAGCCAGCCATTATCCATCCATTCATCTATCCATCTGTCCATCCAACCATCCCTTCATCTATTCATTCATCCATCCATCCATTCATTTATCCATCCATCCATCCATTTATTCATCCATCCATCTATACATCCATCTACTCATCCATCCTTTCATCCATCCATTTATTCATCCATCCATCCATCCATCCATCCATCTCCCAGTTGTCAACTGAGGAGCAAATGCCAAGTGTTGCATTCAACCCTCAGCACAACCTTTGCAGGGGATGATAGGGAAAGAGCATTCAGTACTCAGGGCCTATCTTGCTGAGCTCAGGGGAAGGGCCCTGAGGACCTGACCCAGACTCAGATTCCAGAGGCAGCTTTTCCTTCCCTGCTGAGTCAGAGCTCAGGAGCCTGCTTTGCTGACCCTGGCAGCTCAGCTGACTGAAGGGGTCTAATAATCTGGGAGGGGAAAGGTCAGGAAGCCTTTCCATAAACACTCTGGAAGCCCTCCTTTTGCTTTTGCTCTGGCAAGCCCTGCTGACATAATTATTGGGCGGATGTGACCTGGCCAGACCACAGTCAGATATCCATACACTTTGCCAGAGGACAGAGGTTGCAGGGATGCTTTGATTGCTTCCCCTTCTCTCCCCAGAGCCCTGCGGGCAGGAGGAGGAGTCAGCGGAAATGCCATCACCCTTCTGATAGCAGATAGCAGCCCCGTAGCCTGGTAGAGACACCTTGGGAGTGGGAAGTGGAATGGGTGGGTCCCTGAGGAGATGGTGGAACCTGTCAGACCCCTGGGACATCCTTTACCAAGCTCTGGTGACAGGTCTATTCTTGTCACCCTGGTCCCTCACTTATGGGACTGCTTCCTGGAGGAGATGGCTTTCCTGGTGGAGAAAAAGGAGTATAACATGTCACTGTTGCGCAGCCTATAACACTCTCAGCAAGAGCATTTGGTGATTATCATTACTTTTAGTATTAGTTATTATTTGAAAGTGCTGCTTTTGTACCAGGCACTTAAAAAAATGTATTCACTCATGTAACTGTTACATCCTTCTGAGGTTGGGACTGTTACTATTCCATTTAATAGATGGGAAAACTGAGGCACTAAAGTCACAAGATTAGTGTTAGAGGTAGGATTTGAACTCAGGAACTTTGGCTCCAGAGTCTGTTTTTTAACCCCAGTATGCAAGATTATGCAGCCAGATAAGGGGTCACAATCCCTGCTGGATGGTTCCAACGCTGCCCTCTCAGCCACCACCATGGGGCGGCATTATTTTTAGATGAATGAACAAAGGACCAGGTAGCTGTGGGTGGACTGTCCACATTGTCTGTGCCCCTTAGGGGGTGGGGGTGGGGCGGGCTGGAGCAGGTCCTGACTGTGTCCTCTCCCCTTTTCCCTCCCTCTCAGATGTGGACGTCCTCCAGCGGCTGGGCCTCAGCTGGACGAAGGCCGGGAGCCCTGCACCCCCGGGAGTCATTCCTTTCCAGTCTGGCTTCATCTTTACACAGCGGGCCCGGCTCCAGGCTCCCACGGGCTCCGTCATTCCTGCCTCCCTGGGCACAGAGCTGGCGCTGGTGCTGAGCCTCTGCTCCCACCGGGTGAACCATGCCTTCCTCTTCGCTGTCCGCAGCCAGAAACACAAGCTGCAGCTGGGCCTGCAGTTCCTCCCCGGCAAGACGGTCGTCCACCTGGGGTCCCGGCGTTCGGTGGCCTTCGACCTCGACATGCACGACGGGCGCTGGCACCACCTGGCCCTCGAGCTCCGAGGCCGCACAGTCACTCTGGTGACCGCCTGCGGGCAGCGCCGGGTGCCTGTCCTGCTGCCTTTCCACAGGGACCCTGCACTCGACCCCGGGGGCTCCTTCCTCTTTGGGAAGATGAACCCGCATGCAGTCCAGTTTGAAGGTGCTCTGTGCCAGTTCAGTATCTACCCTGTGACGCAGGTCGCTCACAATTACTGTACCCACCTGAGGAAGCAGTGTGGACAGGCTGACACGTACCAGTCCCCACTGGGGCCTCTCTTCTCCCAAGACTCTGGCAGACCTTTCACCTTCCAGTCTGACCTCGCCCTGCTAGGCCTGGAGAACTTGACCACTGCCACACCACTGGGGTCACAGCCAGCAGGCAGGGGACCCAAGGGGACTGTGGTGCCCGCCACTCCCACCAAGCCCCAAAGGACTAGCCCCACAAACCCTCACCAGCATATCGCGGGGCGAGGCCCAGCCCAAACCCCACCTGCCAAGCTGTCAGCCAGTAACACACTTGATCCTGTGCTCCCAGCCTCTCTTGGCAGCTCTACCAGAACGCCTCGCCCTGCAGCCTCTCAACCATCACAGAAGATCACAGCCACCAAAATCCCCAAAAGCCTCCCTACCAAGCCTTCAGCCCCTTCTACTTCAATTGTCCCCGTCAAAAGTCCCCATCCTACCCAGAAAACAGCTGCACCTTCATTTACAAAGTCAGCCCCACCCACTCAGAAGCATGTACCTACAGTTCCTGCCAAAGTATCCCGTCCCGCAGAGAAGCCCATCCAGAGGAACCAAGGAATGCCCAGGCCCCCACTGCCCAGCACCCAGCCCCTACCTCCTACCACCAGCTCCTCTAAAAAACCCATTCCCACACTAGCTCAAACTGAGGCCAAGGTGACTAACCATGCCAGTAAGCCGGCCTCTGCCCGCACCAGCACCCACAAACCTCCCCCATTTACTGCTTTATCCTCATCTCCTGCCCCTACTCCTGGTTCTACCAGGACGACTCGGCCACCAGCCACAATGGTGCCTCCAACCTCGGGCACCAGCGCTCCCAGAACAGCACCTGCCGTCCCCACTCCTGGCTCAGCTCCCACTGGAAACAAGAAGCCCACTGGATCGGAAGCCTCAAAGAAAGCCGGACCTGAGAGCAGCCCCCGGAAGCCCGTCCCCCTCAGACCTGGGAAGGCAGCCAGGGATGTCCCCTTGAGCGATCTGACAACCAGGCCTAGCCCCAGACAGTCCCAGCCCAGTCAGCAGACCACTTCAGCCCTGGTATTGGCCCCAGCTCAATTCCTGTCCTCCAGCCCCCGGCCCACGAGCAGTGGCTATTCGTTCTTCCACCTGGCAGGATCTACGCCTTTCCCTCTGCTGATGGGGCCTCCGGGGCCCAAGGGAGACTGTGGTTTGCCGGTAAGACTGAGTGGGGTCTGCATGCTGCGTGGAGCTCCAGTGGGGGACTGGGGCATTGGTCAAGTGGTTGCCCCTGGTAAAGAAGGAAAAGGAGCAGCTTAGAGCAGGGAGCTGGTTATGGGCACATCCTCGGCTCCAGCCAGGCCCCTGGCTCCTCTGGCTCTGCTAAATGCATCATTGCTCACTCTGCTCCAGATTCATGATCCACTGGGACAGACTTAAGTCTGGTGGTTAACCCCAGGTGAAGAGCACCCCTGGGCTTTGGTTGGCCCAGGTCCAAGCCCATTCTTTGCTAACCCAGCTGCAAAGGTCGAACAGCTTAAGGAAAGCCCGTAGCTGTCTGGCCCCAGATCATGCAGTGAGTAAGCAGCTTCCAAAGCCCCGCTCTCCCAGCTCATGGAGCAGGGGTCCTTCTGGCCATCAGCTTGTCTGAGAGTTGCAGACAAAGGTCACACATGGGGAGCTCTGGATATGTTTTGTTTGGCACGTGCAGTGTCCTTTTTTAAAAATCCAATAAGTTACTAACATTTGAAAAATGTGAGAGATTTCTTATAAAAAGACTCAGCAACCAGCTTCTCTTGGAAAGTGGGAGATGCAATGGCGCTTGAGCCACCCCGTTAGAACAAGTCTGTTCTTGTCTGTGCTGGTCCCCACTTCTCCTGACTGAGTCTTCCGATCAGTCCTTTCACCTGTTTATGTTACCTGCCTGCCCAGCACCTGCAGGGGTTTGATTTGTAACCCCCGGTAGGAGTTTGGGGTGCGGAAGATCAGCGTGGGCCAGAAGGAAGAGGAAGGGAGAAGAAAGAACACGACTTGCAGGATGGTCTCAGGGTCGATATCTCTGGCTTGCCTGGGACCGTCTCCAGGGGCAACGACCTTCCCACAGCTGGAGGCCAATTCCTCTGGGTGGGGAATGATGGGATGGCGTTTCCAGAAGCCTCAGGGCTCTGCTCTGTTCTCCCGCCTTGGAGACGACCACCGTGTGGTGGCCTCTCTCTCTCCTTCCTGAAGCCGGCTCTCCCACTGGGCTCTGTGTTTGAGGTTAGGGCTCCCTGCAATGCGGAGACAGTGGCAGATGCTGGGAATTCCCAGGCCTTCCAAACACACTTAATGAGTTTTAATAATCATTAGGAATAATATTTATCCAGCCTGTCTCCAAGGGGACTGAGAGTCCGCCTTTATTATAACCATATTGTCGAACTTATGGAAACTATGCATTGCTTTGCAATTATGTCAACGTTCTGCTCAAGTTCCGTGTTCTGAAATTGGCAGCATAGAGAGTTGGGACCCACCACTTTCTTGTGGAAAGAACGAGGAACCCTTTTCACCTCTCCAGCCAACCCAGGCCAACTCTGGCACCAGGTGCCTTGGGGCCCTGACAGCTCAGCTTCCCACGCTGTGTGTGTGCTGGGCTCAATGGTGGTGAGGTCAAAAGGGGAATTGTCCCCTCCTGACAGGACATGGTGAGGTCCATGGTCTCAACTCTGGCCACACAGCACAACCCAGCCGTGAGGAGGAGGCTAGCCCTCCCTCCCAAGAATGTGTGTGGTGTGGAGAGAGGAGGGGAGCTGGCCCAGGGCAGATTCTATAGAATCTTGGGTCCTCTGTATGTCTGAGTCAAATACTTTTTCCTGGGGCTCGGGGCTCTGGGTTAGCAGGAAGTGAGGCCTCCTGCCAAATCTCTTTGAAAAAGAGGAGGCACTGAAGTGAACCTGGTCAGTCAGTGGATGCTTGGGGATGACTTAGTTCAACTTTCCTCATTGGACAGGTGAGAAAATTGCGCTCAGAGAGGGCCAGGACCTGCCCAAGGCCACGCAGCATGGAGGAGGCAGAGCTGAAGTTTACATTCCAGACTCTAGACTCCAAGACTAGCACATTCCATCCCACTGCCCTGAGTGTCCACTCTGAGGCTCTGGGACTCAGATCTGGGGGACTGGGGGCTTCAGACAAGAGTCACTACTGTCCCTGTCCCTGGTCTCAAAGGAAGGACTCAAAATCTAAAGAATCTCTTTCTTTTTTTTTTTTTTTTAGAGACAGGGTCTCACTCTGTCACCCAGGCTGGTGTGCAGTGGTGTGATCACAAGTCACTGCATTCTTAATCTCCCGGGCTCAATCCATCCTCCTGCCTCAGCCTCCCAGGTAGCTGGGACTACAGGCACATGCCACCATGTCCAGCTATTTTTGTCACTTTTTTTGTAGAGTCTGGGTCTCACTATGTTGTCCAGGCTGGTCTTAAACTCCTGGCCTCAAAAGATCCTCCTGCCTCAGCCTCTGAGAGCACTAGAATGACAGGCTTAAGCCACTGTGCCTGGCCTAAAGAATCTTCTGATTCGATAACCCATCACGTTTATGAGCTACTTCCACAGGCACGGTGTCTCCTTTAGGACCTCATGGAAACTGGTTGAGGAGGGCAGTCTGTGTGTGTTCAGCCCTGCCCCACAGATGATCCAACAGGGGTTAGAAAGAGATAAAGGGCCCGGCCAGAGGCACCCAGCATGTTCCCGAAGGAGCTGGGATGCGACTTGTGGTCCCTGACTTCTGGCCAGGGCCGAGGCTCTTTCTGCTCCTCCAGCCCTGACTTCTGAGGACAAGGGGAAGACACCAACCTGCCCAGGGGACATCCCTGCCTCAGGCCCCGTGCTATCCCCTGTCCCCACCTTCCCCCAGCTTGGAACATAGCTTACTCCAGGAGGAACCAGGAAGCTGGTAGAATCTTTGTCCACTGTGTAGCAGATGGCAACCTGGTCACTTCTTCACCAGATACCAGAATAATGTAATGGAAGAGGCGTCTTTGAATGTGATAAAATGAACTCCCATTCTTTCTGGCCTCTGCTCTCTTCCCTTGACCTCCATATACATCCAGGATCTAAGCCCAGCAGAGCAGAAGCTCCAGCTGCCCAGGAGAAGTGCTTCATTGTCCCCCATCTGGGGACATGCAGACTTGGGTTCAAATCCTGGCTCCACCCCTTTTAGCTCTGTGACTGATCCATGCTGAGCCTGTTTCTATAGAACATAAGATGATAATAGCTCCCACTTCTGGTGGGGATGGTGGCCTGAAAATGTGCGTAAATTTTATTTGCATATAAAGCTGTAGTAGAGGCTCAGCGTGGTGGCTTACACCTGTAATCCCAGCACTTTGGGAGGCCAAGGCAGGCGGATCACTTGAGGCCAGGAGTTCACCAACATGGTGAAACCCTATCTTTACCAAACATACAGAAATTAGCCAGGCATGGTGGCACACATCTGTAATCCTAGTTACTTGGGAGGCTGAGGTAGGAGAATCCCTTGAACTCGGGAAGTGAAGGTTGTAGTGAGCCGAGATCATGCCACTGCACTCCAGCCTGGGCAACAGTGAGACTCTGTCTCAAAAAAAAGCTGGAGTAGAAATGAAGTAAGTTGGGCCATCTTACCTAGGTTTGCTGAGTGAGTTTGGGGAAATTCTTCCCTCTCCCCAGTGCTCAGTCTCCTACTGAAATAAAGTGTTGGGACAGCTCTCCCCTTAGAGATGACTGTGGGGCCTTTCAGTGTTTTAGAGAGGTGCAGTGGCTGTGTTTGCATGTGCAAACCTGTTCCTCGGGGTTCAGGGCACGAGAGCAACTGGCAGAGGCTGAGACAGAGTTCTGGGCCCAGGCCTGCCAGGAGTTGTAGCTGCTGAGTGAGGGAGCTCTGTGGGAGCCCCAGGAGGGGGGAGCATGGAAAAACTGAGCTTGGCCCTGGGTGAGTTGGGGCGGGGAGGCGGCGGTTCACAGCGCTGCACAGAAGCTGCACAGAAGCCCCACGCCTGAGAGGAGGCGAGTCAAGGCCTTATTTATTCACGATCAGGCCACTGGCATTTGCCCACGCTTGCACTTTTTGCAAATGTCCCATCGGGAAGACCCAGCTAAGGGCCTGGCCCACAGCACGTGCTCTGTGACTATCTATCTGTGAAATGAACGAAAGAATTTGATCCTTATGAAATGCAGGTCGTCCTGACTCCCAGACGGGGCTCCTTGAGGTTACCCAGAACTCTGCTGTCAGGGAGATGAGGAGGCCATGTGGACTGCAAAAGCACGTAGTCTTAGGATTTGGGATGACCTGGGTTTGAACCATTCCCTTATCCAGCCATCCATTCATTCTTTGCACAATTGTTAGCTGAATGTCCTCTAGATGCCTGGTGCTGTGTGACCTTTGACAAATCACTTAACCTCTCTAAGCCTCAGTTTCTGCCTCTATAAAATGGGGATACGGTGCCACCTACCTTTCCAGGGTCGTTACATGGATTCAGTGAGATGCGGGAGGTAAAGCACATATGAAACCTGGGTCCTGGTAGATTGTCGTGGCTGTGATTGTGGACTGATGGTGGGTGTCGAGGTGGGGACTTTGGTGCACTGAGAGAACTGGGAGGGTCAGGACATAGTCTCACATTTGCTTGGAGAACTGTGCTATGAAAATATTAACCTGGGGCTAGTCGGTGGAGCAGGGACAGCTTGGGAGCCTGAATGGATAAGGGTGTCATGACACATGTCAGCTAGACAGGAGGGGGGTTAGGGGAGGACTGCCCCCATTTTTTTTTAAGCCAGACCAGAAGGTCCCAGGGAAAGGTGTTCCCAGAACCTAGTGAGAATGAAAACCTTGAGCAGGGGTCTCCCCACAGAAGCAGGGGCCATGGGAGAACACAGCTGCAGCCAAATTATAGCACAGCAGAGAGAGCACAGGGAGAGAAATAGCCTGTCCTCCCTTCTGTGCACTCTCTTTCTGGGGTCTCCCATTGGCCAAACCCAGCTGGAAGCTAGAGGTCAAGGAAGGCCAGGGTACAATCTGTAGAAGTCAGCTTCCCAGGGCACAGCATGGATCTGGGGAGTAAACGGAGAAGAACCAGCATGCACATGCCATCTCAGAATATGGGTATTATATTCCCATTTCACAGCTGGACAAACTGAGGCCTGGAGGCCCAGGGAGATGAAGTAACTCACTCAAGGCCATACAGAGCTGTATTGATGCCGAAAAGCTCTGTTCCAGCAGGTCCTTCCTAGGACAGAGGCTGGGGAAGTCTGGGTGCCCTGTGGGAATTCTTAGGAATAATCATGAGCTCAGATAATCAGAGATGGAAGAGCCCTTTGAGGCTCCCTAACTACCCCCAACAGGTTACAGACACAGAGTCCAGGTGTAGAGATCAAAAGGACATTGCTCAGGGTCACACGGTAGTTAGCTGCACACCTAGGTTCGGACTTTGGTCTCCTAAACCCCAGGCCTGTAAAACCTCTCGTTGCTTACTGCCAGGGGCCATGCCAGCTAGCGCTGGTTTCTTTCTGCAGGGCTTGGCAGGCAGAGGCTCTTGTAGCTGGACACAAGGGTGGACTTGTTCCGTAGGATGGGGTTCCCCTAGATCTGGCTGTCAGAGGCCAGGACCCTTGGGGGAAGCCCCGAGGGGTCTGCTTGGCTGTTTCCATGGCTCTGTTTGCGTGCGCCTGGAGCCCAGGCCTCCTCCGCCTCCCCCAGGCAGGCCTGAGCCCCCGCTCTGCTCCCCCTCAGCTCCGGGCCCTCTCAGAGGCCCCGTTGTTTGCAGCGTGAAGTGGAAAATCCCACCCCGGCCTCGTGAATCATCCCAGAGTCACCCGCTCAGGCTTCAGGCCCTGGAAAGAAATGGCAGCGTTTTTCCACTGCAGAGAGAACAGGCAGGGTCTCGGATCAGGGGAGAGGGGCCAGGGGGCACCCACCCATGCTTGCCACGAACAAAGTGGGCACTGAGTAGGGGAGGGTCCAGCCCATGGCTAGCACTGGGCAGCTGGCAGTCCCCACCCAGGTTGAAGGTCTGGAGTGAAGGGATTGGCCAGGCCAGAAAGCTGGGGCCGGCCTGTCAAGGAGTCGGCCTGTGGGCTGACATCACCACGCTGGACCCTGGGTCCTGAGTGGCACTCAGAGTCTGCTCTGCAGATGTGGTGGATGAGGTCAGACTCTATCCTGGATGCCCCTATTTCTGGGGCAGAAGACATGCCAAGAGGGAGTGTCCAGGCCTCTGCAGCTGCAGCCCCACCAGGGTCCGTGAAGGAGCTGCACCCACGGAACCTGTTCCTCCCCAGAGTCCTGGACAAGCCCTTCACCCCGCTGGGCCTTGGCCTTCTCCTCTGTGACATGGGAAGAATCTTGCTTTTCCTCTTGACCTGATAACGTAGCAGAGGAAATTACCCCCACCTTGGCCCTCCGCAATTCAGGAAATGCCAGTGCCAAGAAGGTTCCAGGATCTTTACTTCACAGATGCCCATAGAAGGGAAGGGACTTACTCAAGGCCACATACCTAGTTAGAGTCACACTTGACCAAGATTGTGTGGCAGCTGCGCAGGGTAGGAGAACAGTTCCAGCGGTCCTGGGTTTGAATCCAGGCTCTGCTTCTTGTTAGCTGTGTGGTACTGGGCAAGTCACTTTACCTCTCTGAACCTCCCTCTGGCTTCTTATCTGTTGAAATGGTATGGTATACCTACAGTGTGCTTCATCTCAGCCCCCTGCTTTTTCTTTAATTCTGGGTCCACTTGGGACAGTTGGGTCAAGGAGGGCCTCCTAAGAAGGGACATCTCTTACTGTCCCCTAGAAACAGATGTGAAGGAGGGTGGCTTAAAATTTTGAGTTGAGGACGTTCCAGAAGCTTGCTTAACAGAAATAACAGCTAACATTTTTTTGAGCATTAACTGGGTGCCAGACACCAGGATTAGCACTTGTTATAGATTATATGTCGGCTAGGTGCTATTATTAACCTCATTTTACAGCAATAGAAACAAAGGCTTGGAGCCTGGAAATAGCTTTGCTCAAAGCCACCCAGCTAGTAAGTGGGGGGGTGGGGGTGTCCTATGTGAACCCAGGCCCTTGGCGTTACACCATACTCTATTGCCCAGAGACAGCTGGAGAGGGGAAGTAGGTAAGACTGGCACCCAGAGTCCAGAACCTGCAAAACCAGACAACTCCTCTACCCAGCCATTGAGCTCTGCCGACAATTTGGCCAGAGGTCCCCAGATGCTCAGAGGTAGCTGGGACTTACCCGAGGTCACAAAACAGTCCCTCCTCTTTCTGCTCAGGGCTGTTGCCCAGTGACCTTGGTACCCATATCTGCCTGTCTGGATCTCTCCTCTGATTTTTATTCATGGACGAGCAAGCACGTGGTGTTCACAGGCCAGAACTGTGAGCCGAGGCTGCCCAGCGTGAGATCTGGATTAATTACCAGCCAAACCGGACTGGGTTTTCAACACCGATTTTAACTCTGGGCAGGAAACCTGGAATCTCGTTGATGGTTATTTGAAACAAATGAATTCCCCAGGCCTCACACATCCTCGAAAGCCTGGCTTCCTTTGAAGGCTTCAGGCACAGTTCTTCACATCAGGCGCTTAGTTAATCCTCATTTACTCCTTCGAGGTAGATGCAGCAGTAGTTGTTGGACTCATCTTAACAGGGAGCATCTGAGACTCAGATAAGTGGGAGGAACTGCAGGAAGTCTGCCGTTATTAAGTGGTAAAGACAGGATTTGAACAAAGACCAGCTCATGGTTTAGTAAGTCTGCTCGGCTGCCTCCCTTCCTGTTTAAAGAGAAAAGAGATGAGGATACACAGATGTTCCTTAAATGCTGAGCTTCAGCGTTAGGTCTTTCACTTGCGGGAAATGGGGAGCTCTTCAATGTTGTTGAGCAGGGGAGGGCTTTTGGAAGGTGAATGAGGCTGTGTAGAGGAGGACTGCAGAAGGGAGGGAGTGGAGGAGAGAGTAGAGGCGGGGAGACCACTGAGGGGGCTGCTGCAGGTTCTTGGGGAGCGGTGATGAAGGCTGGACCATGCTGTGGCCATGGGAACAGATAGCACATTTGAGTGCCGGTTACGTACCAGGCACTGTGCTACACATTTATCATCTCTCATGTCATCCTTGGAATCCCATGGGGAGTGTTTTATTGCCTCCGTTTGTATGGGCATAAGCTGGCTAAAGACTTGCGCATTTTGTCAGTGACAGGCAGGGATCTGAACCCAGGCGCGTCTGATTCAAAAACCCGCGCCGTGCTCTGTGTGCTGTGCTGCCTCTTTGTGGGGCAGAGACACTTGGTGTGACCTTGGCCAAGTCCCTTCTCTGTTCTGATTCTGCAGAGAATTTGGCTGAGCTCTGAGGTTTCTGGCTGTTTTATTTTATCAAATGTTTGACTGAGCCCTGGGGATAGAAATATGACTCATATCCCCTTAGTTCCTTTGAGGAGACCATCATCTGATGGGAGAGACAGGCTTCTAAGCAGATAATTCCCCAAGTAAGATAGTGGTCTTTAAAATAGAGGAAAAGAAGGGACTTTGTCCAACTTGGGGAAGGCTTTCTGGAGGAGGTGACACCCTAAGTTAGCTGGGTGATAAATGATGAGGGCTTCAGTGACTGACTAGTAGCTACCAAAGCCCAGAAGCTCCAAAGAGCATGAGTTTCTCAGGGAAGGGACCTCAGGGGACTCCTCCTCTGAGCCGTGGACTATCCATGCCCACAGCTGCAGGCGGGATTGTTGAATGACTGCTTGAGCCCATTCTCTGCTGCCAATGAGCACTGTCTAATGCTGTCTGTCTTGTTTTTTCCTTAGGGTCCCCCTGGGCTGCCTGGGCTACCTGGAATCCCTGGTGCACGTGGGCCTCGGGTGAGTTATCTCACGCTGTCCTTTGGAACTCTTGTTGGCTCTTTTGGCCTGCGTCTCACTGCCCCCGAGGTCTCAGGTTTGCTGTGTGTCCTCAGGTTCTTCCCTCCCCATCTCTGGCACCCATATTTTGCTTTATCCATTTGGAGTGGACTTAGGGCTCTCAGGCATGCTATATGGACAGATATGGCATGGAACAGCAATGACCTCTTGTAGGTCTCGGTTGTCCATTGGGGATATCACCCTTTGTAGCCTGGGGTGGGGAAGGTGGGGAAGCCTGAAGATCACATCCCCTCGGTTGATGGACTTCAGTGTTTGTCCAGGAAAAAAGCTGACTTGGGGAATATATGGCCCTTGCATCCCTCTTCCTGTTTCTGCAGGGCTCTCCTGGGGTAGGGGTGTGGACATAGGTACCTGGAGGGGCCGTGCCAGGGAGCAGTTGAGTTCCTCCTGCTGGAGAGAGGCCGGGCTTGGCAGGCTGCAGTGGCTCGCTGAGCTAGCCCGAGCCCCAGAGGGAAAATAAAATAGCTCCTATGTGATGTCCTGGCACCTTGTTTTATGCTGCCTTATTTGACCTCTCACGCCCACCCCAAGCTCCCATGGGACAGTGTGATCATTCTCATTTTAGAGATGAGGAAACTGAGTAGGAAATGCCAAACCAGGACTGGAACCCAGGCTCTTACCCATATGCTGGAACCCTTGGAGATCCCCTTAGAGGGAGACCTACCTGCTTCCCTTAAAGGGCTGAGACCAACAGCACCCGGCATCTGTGCCCAGGCTGAATCAGCCTTTCCCACGCTGGGTGCCTGGTGAGGCCCTGGCAGAGATAGCTGCCTGGGGCATATTTTTAGCTCTGAGCCCAGCGAATGGTTCTGGTTATGCAATTACCCAAGCCTTAGTTCCCTCCAGACCTGGCCCTCTGCTCCCTGGGCCCAGGGCTCTGGAATCTGCCATCTGAAGCGGCATTTCTTCCTGGCTTCAGAGCCTTCATGAAGCACGTGCCCCCTGGGGACCACACAGATATCACAGAGGCTGCTAGCCCATGGGACCGTGCAGCCTGGGACCAGGATGAGGCCGTTGACCTAGGCAGCCTACTCCCTTCCCCAACCTCCTGAGCCCCCCAGCCTCTGCAGTTTTGCTCTGGCTGTCCTCCTTTGTAAACTCCTCCTCCATTCATGTCTAAGAGCAAACATCACCTTTATTTCTGGTGACCACTCCCTTCTTGGAACTCCCGCAGTGGTTCCCCTGTTCCCTCTGGATGGCGTGTCCCATTTTCTCAAAGCTCTCATTGACCACTGAACTCTGTTTGCTGAGCCACATGTGCAGGATCTCATTCCACCTTTCCAGCCATCCTGAGAAATAGGTTTCAATCTATTCCCATTTTACAGATGAGGAAACCGAGGCTCAGAAAGGTTTAGTTACTTCAGATAAAGTTAAAGAGAGTAAATGGCAGAGCCAGGATTGAACCCGGGTAGTCTGCCTCCAGAGCCTACCAATTTTTTTTTTTTTTTTTTTTTGCCAGAGTCTTGCTCTGTCTCCCAGGCTGGAGTGCAATGGAGCAATGTGGGCTCACTGCAACCTCCACCTCCCAGGCTCAAGTGATTCTCCTGCCTCAGCCTCGCAAGTGGCTGGGATTACAAGCACATGTCCCCACACCCAGCTAATTTTTCGTATTTTTAGTAGAGATGGGGTTTCACCATGTTGGCCAAGCTGGTCTCAAACTCCTGACCTCAAGTGATCCACCTACCTCAGCTTCCCAAAGTGCTGGGATTACAAGTGTGAGCCACTGCACCTGGCCCAGAGCCTACCATCTTAAGCATCTATTGTGCTTATTTTTCTGGATAGTCACCTGAGCCCCTTCAGAGATAGGCCTTGGTTACCTCTCTGTCCTACATGATGCCTAGCAGAGTGCCCTGCATGCAGCAGGTGCTGGGCAAATGACTGGTGAAGAGTTTTAATCTAAGAGTCAAGAATATTTCCACCAAGAAGTTGTGGAATCTTAGGCAAGTCCCTTCCCTCCTCCTAGCCTCAGTTTCCCCATCTGTAAAGCCTGGGGTCATGGTAAGGCGTTTCTAAGTTTCCACCTAGCTCTGGGTGAATGACTTTCCTGACACGCTTCTAGGCTCTTTCCCTGCAAGCCACCCCAGCCCCGCCGCCCGCCACCGTACCATCATCCTGTTTCTAGACTGGAAATTCCATGTATTATAAAATTCCAAAGATAGTAGAATGCTGGATTAAACAATCCCAGCTCCTCTCTGCACAGATGGGGGCTCTGGAGGGGCTTAAGGAGGGGCATTCTTACCTGAGGTCGCCCAAAACTCTGTGTCTTGCCCCTTCCTACCTCCACATATTCCCCCAGCCCATGGAGGGATGTCGGGGAATCCCAGAGCCTCCCCCACCTGGCTTTCTAGGCTGCAGCATTTATAGAATCAGTCTGCTTGGCTTTCAGTCAACTATGTGCCTCGTTTCTCTGCAAGGCTGGAGAGGGGTGGGGACGGTGGGGGGGCAGGGAAACAGGAAGCCCCCACCTTCAGAAGCTGCAGATGGGGGAGCTGAGTGCTCTGGCCCACCATCTATGGGGCAGCTGGGGGCATGACTGGGGAGAGGCAGCCACCCCTGACCTTGTGCAGCCCACGCCTGGCTCTGGTGGAACTGGGTGTCACGAACCCCTCCTTCAACACCCCCTCCCAAACTCTGTCCAGTTCCCACTGAGCTTGTGGTTAGACCTGGTTAGACCCTACGAGCCTGGGCTGGTGTGAACATCAGGGGGTGTTCCAGATTCCTTAGAGACTGCTGGGTCCCAGTCATTTACAGAACAGAGGGCGAGACCGAGGCTGGGGATTGCGAAGTGGGGCTCAGAACTGGGACCCAGTCTCGATGCTTCCAGGTTCTGTCGCGTGCCAGGAGACAGTGTTTGGTGGACTGCAGGGGAGGGCAGGAGGGCTGATTATTTTGGAAGGAGGGTCACAAGTGGCACTGAGAAACTCCCCAGGCTCAGTGTGCTCTGGACACTGTTCCTTCCCGGTGCATTCGGAGAAGGGGAGGGTCCCAGTTCAGGCATCAAGGAAGAGAGGAAGAGGGAGGTGCCTTGGTTGGAATGTGACAGGCTGCAGCTGGGAAGCTGGCCTCAGAGCACAGGGAAGAAGAAAGCAGTTCACACACAGTTAGCCCTATGAATCAAGAGGGGCAGGGACGAGGGCAGTGTGCCTAGAGGCTGACTGGGCGGGGAGGACCACTGGACCCTTTGGGGTGCTTCTCCTCACCTCCTATGCCCCAGATTATTCCTGCTAGACAAAAACCCTCAAGTATTACCCGACTCTTAGGGCTCTATTTATATTACTGGGCTGGAAGACTCTAGGCCAGGGCTCTTGCTGGAGAAAGTGGACGTAACAGGACCCAGCTGTTATAGGGGAACTTGGATATGGACTGCGAAAATCCAGCACCATGAATAAACTCTGGACTTGAAACCACCAGGCCCTGGACCCTGATCTCACTTGGCCACAACTCTGCTGTATGACCTTGACCAAGCCTCCTGGACTCTCTGGGTCCAGTGTTCCCAGGTGCTCTGTGGTCTCTGGAAGACCTTGAAAGCTTGGAGCTTGCAGGGGTTTAAGGGTCTGATCACATGTTGTAGCCATGGGAGAGGTGCACATTTGTTCACAAGAGGTCAAATGCATCCTTCTTGAGCTCTCAACTCCAAAGACTCATACAAAAGTCCAATTGGGGCCAGCTGCCATGTAATCCCAGCACTTCAAGAGGCCAAGGCAGGAGGATTGCTTCAGGCCAGGAGTTCGAGACCAGCCTGGGCAATGTAGCAAGACTCCATCTCTACAAAAAAAAAAATTAAAAATTAACCAAGTATGGTGGCCCATGCTGGGAGTCCCAACTACTCAGGAGGCTAAGGCGGGAGGATCTCTTGAGCCCAGGAGTTTGAGCCTGCAGTTAGCTATGATCATACCACTACACTCTAGCCTAAGCCACAAAGCAAGACCCTGCCTCTAAAAAATAAAAGTCCATTTGAAGCTGGAGGAGCCCCAGAGGGTTCCCTGGAGGAGATGGCACTTTGAGCCAGGCATGAAGGATGGATCAGGTTTTAAGCAGAGGAGATGGATGAGAAAAGATGCTGCCAGATGAGGGAACATCATGGGCAAAGGCAATGAGGAGAGAAAGTACCAGATACATGGGAGGGAAGTGCATAGTTAAGAGTGGTTTGAGCCTGAAGAAGCTGGGAAGGGCTGACGGGGCCGGGCTAAGAGAGTGTGGAGAGGAGGTAAAATTTAGGGGTGAAGGACTTGTGCTCTGATATCCAGGTCCAGCTCTGCCTCTTAGCAGCTGGGTGATCTGAGACAGTTACAAACCTCTGTGAACATCAGCCTCCTTGTCTTCAAAATAGTAATAACAATATGACCTACCTTCCCGGTTAATAGGATCAAATGAGATGGCACATGGGATGTGCTTCCCACGGGGCCAGGCACGGAGGGGGTGCTCCCAAAAGTAGGCTGAGTGGCCACGACAGTGTTGCTAGGGCTTGGTTTGGGGAGAAGATAATAAACCAGTGGGTGTAGGGAAGGTGCCAGGCATTGCAGTCAGAGGTGAGATGGCCTGTTTTTTGTCACCTTATTTGTTTTTGTTTCTTTTCTCTTTCAGGGTCCTCCTGGGCCTTATGGAAATCCAGGTCTCCCCGGCCCTCCTGGAGCCAAAGTGAGTATTTGCTGGAGATGTGGCCACGGAGTGGGTGCTGGGGTTGGAGCCATATTTGCGGTGCTTCCCAGGGGCGCCTGGTGGGTGCTGGGGTTGGAGCCATGTTTGAAGTGCTTCCCAGGGGCGCCTGGTGGGAGGGCTTCAGGGGCACTGAGGGGGATTCCCACCCAAGCCAGGATCACCCTCTGGACCCCTTTCCAGGGCTGGGCCCTGTGCCTGATCTGGAGACACAGTGCTTCCGGCTGGGAGAGACTTGGGGGAGTCGCGCAGTTGGAACCCAGAGCCTTCAGGGCAGTGGGCAGAGGGGTGATTTCTTGCTAAATAGGGAAGGCTGGCCTTGAATGTCAGACTAAGAACATAAGGCTTACCGTGTTGTAAGATGCATCCTGGGGAGGGATGTGGAAAGATCACGTTTTAGAAAGCTCACTAGATGCCATGAGGAAGATGAAGTGGGGGTGGGGAACCACAGCCAAGGCCGGGAGACCAGGGGTGATACAGGGGAGAAAGGAGGCTAGTCTGGGCCAACTCAGGGGTGTGGGAGGAGGTAGAGTGGAAAGGATGGTGGTGGGTGCAAGGTGAGAGACAGTTACAAACACCAGACAGTTTTTACCTCCCTGATATTAGCCTTGGGGACTGAACTGGGTCCCAGGAGGGGGCTCAGATGATGTTGCATGTGGAAACGTGTAGCCCGGTCAAGTGATCATTTATGGACAGATATTATGGAACTCAGGATTGCTCTGAGCTGGAGATAGAGCCAGCGGGAGGCTGGCGCAGAAATGCCACTTCCCCCAGGGAGTCTTCTTGGAATACTCGAGTTCACTTTTGATGAGACCTTAGTGGCTGATGCTTTGATGATATGGGAACAGCACTTGCTGAGCTCTTCTGTCTGTTCCTGGAGCTCTGGCAGAGGGCAAGGTTGTTGGGGCACTGCATTGGAAGTGAGAAACTCAGAGCACCAAGAGGAGTGCCAGAGCCAGCAACATTTAGGTCATGGGAAAAGAAAGCTTGCGGAATGGCTGGAGAGATAGGAGGAGGGGAAGGAAGATGCTAAAGTCCCTGAAGCTAAGAGCAGTGCCTGTGCCAAAGGAGCTGTGGAGGGCAGACGGGCTCCTGGCTCAGGGGCCTCCCAACCCAGCCTGTGTCATCTGTGGGGTAACCAGGTGAAGTGCACCCCTGGGCTTTGGTTGGGCCGGGTCCAGGGCCATTCTTTGATAACCCAGCTGCAAAGGTTAAATGGCTTAAGGAAAGCCCTTAACTGATTGGCTCCAGGCCATGCACAGTGAGCTGCTGAGCAGCCGCTAAAGCCCAGCTCTCCTGAGTCAAGGAGTAGGACTCCTTCTGGCCCATCAGCTTGCCTGGGAGCTTTGGACAGAGGTCTCACGTGGTAGTCCTGGGCGTATGGATCTGTGGTGCCAGAGTCTTGGGACAGAGCAGAGTGCAGGAGCACTGACCTCAGCCCCTCTAGATCTGTGACTCTAAGTCCAGGGCTGGGCTGGGTTCCTTTTTGGAAGGCAGGCAGTGGAGGCCTCAGGTGTCCAGTGCTTAGCAGCTGCCTGGAGGTGCTCTGGGCTTTCACAGGGCGAACACTGGTTATAGTACCAGCCATATACTGAACCCTTCCTGTGTGCCAGGCACTGTGCATGCATTTGATGTGGCTGGTCTCATTTGATCCCCACAAAGACCTAAAGAGATGGGTGGAGATACCGTACCCATTTACAGATGGGGAAACTCAGGCACGGGTCGATGAAGACATTGTCTAGGAAATGGCAGCGGAAGCTGCTCCCACGGGTCAGGCAGAGAGGCAGGAACTCATTTGGAGACTTCCGCTTTGCAGAGGCCATGGGTACATCAAGATGCCGAGCATCCGCAGCTGTTTTGAGTGGCCAGGCTTGCCCCTTCCTAGCCGGCTCTGGGACCAGTGGAGCCTGTCTCCTCCCACCCCCAGACTCACTCCCTGCTCCTGTGGTAGCAGATGCTCCATCAGCTCCTCCTGCTGGCCCTGCTCAGAGCACTGTGGGACCTCAGTGCCAGCACCATGGTAGCCCACCCCAATCTTGCTAACAGATGTGCCGTGGTAGGAGGAGGGCCTGCCAGCTGTTTCTCCTCGCATTCTGAGACACATCTCTGAGTGTGGCCACTGAGGCTTCTCCCTAGCAAGTGAGTTCTCCTGCCACCACGTGGGACTGGGAACCACGGACTCGGGGCCTCACGGACAGGACTCCCATTTACATCTGTGGATAGCAGACAAGGGTGTAGGTTCTATAAAATACACTGGAATCAGAGGCTGCTTCTCTCATTGGGACTTGCATAAAATGCCAGGGGGAAACATCTTGCCCTTTGCCTGGACACTTGGCCCTGAGGCCAAGGGTGAACAGAGGGGCCCTCCAGGGAGGCTGGTTAGGTGGGAGGCCCAGGGAACTGGGCCAGGGCCCTAGGCTGATCTGTGGCATGGCCAGGAAAAGGTTAAAGCAGAGGCCCTCCCTGGATGGGAGTAATGACTTGGCTGAGATTGGATGAGAAAGCTGTGTGTCTGCATGAATGGGTGGGACCCTGGGAAGAGGGTCCTAGGGTCCTCACTGTTCAGCAGATCCCCTTTGGGATGGGAGGTGACCTGGTGGGACTGTAGGGCTGGCTTCCCCCAAGCCCTGTGCTGGCCCCTGATGCTGAGCATCAGCAGCTGTTTTGAATGGCCAGGCTTGCCCCTGCCTAGCCCGCTCTGGGACCAGTGGAGCCTGTCTCCTCCCCCCGCCAGACTCACTCCCTGCTCCTGTGGTAGCAGACACTCCATCAGCTCCTCCTGCTGGCCCTTCTCAGAGCACTGTGGAACCTCAGTGCGTGGTGTCTGGGGCCACCCATCCATTCATCTTCCTTCAGTCAACAAACGTGTATTGAGCACCCACTATGGGCTGTTGACAGATAAATCAGTAACACCCGGGAGGGCTTGCCCTGGGGGCACAGAACTGGATTAGCCCCATGCAGTCATCCCTTCAGTGCATCTCCGCCTTCAGGTGCTTATGGCCTAGTGGGAAGATGATCCCTCTGCTACACTGAAGGGTGGGAGAGATGGGTGGTTTGAGGAAGACCAAGAAAGAGAGAAACCTGAGGTGAGGGACCTCATCCCTCCTGAGGGTGCAGAAGAGTGAAAGTTCAGAGGGCCAAGGGACCTTGCCTGGATCATGGCTGGGCAGTGGGGGGACTGTATTTCAGATCCTTGGGTTTGCCTTCCAGAAGGAGCTTTGTCAGGGTGTCACAGCTGGTACAGGCCAGAGCCAGGCTACATCCCATCTTCCTCCTCCAGAGCCCAAGGCTCTGCCCATCTACTATCTACCCACATATCCCATGTTCCAATCCAGCAGCAAAGGGAGCTCGTCAGCTCCAGCACAGAGTTGGATCCAGGACTTTGAGAATGAGGCAGAGAAGCTAGGACCCTGAGAGGATGTGTTTCCACTTAGAGCGGTGCTGACCCGTGGCAGGTGCTGCAGAAGGGGCAGCTGTCGGCATGTGTGAGGCACTGGGGCTATCAGGGACACAGGCAGGCATGGTCCCTGCCCTTGGGGAGTGTAGAGATGAGCGAGAAAGAAAAACAAGCCAACCATATTGACAAGTGCAGACTTATACCATGATTAGGTCTCTAGGGCTCCACGTGAGAGGCCCGGGGTGCTCAGAGACCCCACGATATGCGGATTGATCCTGTCCAGGAGGTGAGGGACACCTTCTCAGAGGGCAGGAAGGTTGAACCAAGGTCTGAAGTATAGTGGACAACTAGGCAAAGGGGCTGGAGGAGGCTGGCGAGGGCAACAGGCCTGGCAGTTGGTGGTATGATTTTTGGACTTTATCCAAAGAGCAGCTGGAAGACCTGAAAAGGATTTCAGCAGACTTGACATGACCGGATGAGGTTTGCAAATGTCATTTAGGCCATTTGAGAAGCAGAGCTTGGCTGGTGGCCAGTAGGAGGGTTGGAGCTACCCTGGGGCAGGGTGCTGATGCTGGACCATGGTGGAGTCAGGCGGGATGCAGGTCCTTGGTGCAAATGAGGAGCTCTAGGGCAGAGGTGGGGGTCTCTTTCTGGAGAGGGAAGCTAGTGCTCCCCACCAGTACTCCCTGCACTGGGCCATGAGGCTCCTGGTCCCACTCTTGGGCAGCTAGCCACCTTGTCTCTGGTCTGGTTCACTTGGTCTGCAGTGAACTAGCCAGGATGACTATGGCCCTTGGACACTGGGAAAGAGAAGTGGTCAGCAGAGGGCAGGCTCCATGGCCCAGGTGGCTGCTGGCAGAGCTGGTGTGAGCTTTACCTTTCCTCTTCCTCTAATGTTCCTTCCTTTGGACCAGGCCCTGTGCTGGGCACTTGAGATCAGACATGGAATATACAGGGGGCTTCCAGCCCAGACTATTATAATCCTTTGTGATTTAGTGCTCATTTGTCTCATCCCCTCTCTGGGCCTCAGCCACCCAAGGAAAATGTGGAGAAGTTCAGAAGATATCAAGAAGAAAGTGAGCTACCTGTAGTGGTCCTGCCCAGTAATAAGCTCTGAGAGCATTTTGAGCAACCTTTGGGCCAGGCCCTGGTCAAGAGCTTTATATACTTTCCAGAGCAGGTATTATTACCCCCATTTCACAGATGAGGAAATAGGTCCAAGGCGGCCAAGTATCTTGCCCAGAGTCACATTTCTGGTAAGTGGCAGAGCAAGCATTCAAACCCTCGGCTGTCTGACCTCAAGGCGACAATCTAGCCCTAACTCCACAGCTCTCTGGTCTTCCCTGTGTGTGTCATATATGTGAGTATGGATCCACTTTGTTGTGGCTGGGTATCTGGCCTTCCTCACTTAACAATTATTGTGAACATTCTCCTGTGTTAGCCACTTGGCATCCATCACATATGATTTAATGGCTTCATGGCATTCTATCAACACTAATATCCCAGCTTTATATAACTTACTCCATTTGTAAAAAAAATCAGTTCCACTTTGAATTAATATACAAATATTATCTTGATTAACATG